TTATTATAAAAAATTTATGCTAAAGTCGATGTCTCAGCATCATTATTACAAATGAACATTTTTATTGATTGTTGGATTCTGCATTTCTATAATGCTCTTCCATCTATCGGACAATTTCTTCGTGTTTCTAAGGCGGCGCTTTATTTCCTCATACATAAAACGTGGCTGATATAGCACAGTTGATGCGTCACCATATCGCACCATAAATACGCAGGCATCTGAACGCGATTCTACGTTCTGGTGATCATTAATATTTGATTTTACCGAGTTGACATGTGCGCGGCGCACGATGAGGGACGACCGGTCGCCACGAAACAAAAAAGAAATTTCATCTTGGAAGTATGCCAGCTTAATATATATAAATTCAAGCATAGACTGAGCGACACTATATTACGGCGTAGAATTCAGTCTAAATGTTTCAGAAGTCAGCGTGTGTTTGTTGCATTACAAGTTCCCTCGCCGCAATAAGTTTCCACGATAATGCGGCCAAAGCTTAAACACTATATTAATTGCATTGTTCTGGGACAGAGCACAAAACAACTGTAATGTAAAAGCAACCTGCCTCTTCTATACCAAACTATTATACCATGAATCAACTGTCCCCGTCTTCAATTTATTATCATTGTCTCACAAAATACGCAGACACTTCTGTCACTTGTTATTCCGCGAAACATTATTTGTATGTTAAAAAATACCTACAAATCTATCATTAAGATTCTAATTATAAGTAATCTGTTTGTAGAATATATCGTTGCACCTCATTCACCTTTTTGTCGCCACAATTGTCTTTATCCGTCATAATTACTCGAGATATAGAATAGCAAGCTAAACGAAAAACCGTCGATATGTCAATATAACTCAATGCCCTCGTTTCTTCTTCTTTCGATTCGGAGAGAGATCAAGGGCGTCGATACTTCAATAGTAACTCAATCAAAAGATTTTATTTGTATTTCTACACCGATATGCAGAAGACTATATTTTCCCCATAGCTGCTTTCTTTCTTATCTGACACGATGTTTTTACTGCATAGCTATCTCCTCCCATCCTTTATCTAGCTTGCTCCAAATTTCCATGAATTCGATCGCAAAAATGAACAGTCACTCTAAATGCAATATTCAACTTATCTGTATATATCCGCTACGAATGCGCTGGAAAAATCGAGGACGCGATCTATTACCAAAGCGACGAGACTATATTTTTTTAGAGAAGTAAACTGGTTTGCAAGTGGAGTTATTATATCGCATGGTGTACATTATTATGTAAGATATTTTTTAACTTCATGAAAAATTATGCCACTCGCAATCAGATATAAACGAACTGAAATACTATATTATCACGTAAAGATCAATTTTTTTACGTTGCGCAACAAATCAAATAGTTTGAAATAATCAAAATATATATATATATCGTATATGCGTAAGCTTTATGGCAAATTATATAGAATTTCCTATATTATAATATGTAGGCACATGATACTAGCAGATGCATCTGAATCATAAATTATTCGATTCTGAAATCCCGGCGAGAAAACTAAACAAGCAGCTCTATTCGCAAAGCAAACTAGACACACGATGTCGATTCTTTCCGTAAACTCGTCTCACCTAGTCGCGGTTCGATTCCTCTCCTTTATCTCCAGCCGCGACATTTCTATGACATTAAACAGGCGTATCGACATCGCGTGGCGTCGCGCGTGTGAGATACGACCGGATATCCGGCCGATCCCGCGGCGGTATCCCCTATGTTCCTTCTCCTGTGTTTCTCGCGGAGACTCTCTTTCGGGTCGGGGTTGTCTGCAAACTTTGATTACATCTGCCAGCAGCCTGACCTCCCCTCCCTTTGTGCTTTCTCATCCTGCCACAACTCAAATATAGACATGTACCATCAACACCTTATTCTTGGATTGGGATATTGTCTACCAAGCTCCCCCTATGGCCACCCTGTTCTGTTCTTTCAGATTCTCACACCATTATCCTTCGTCCCATCAGATTTACCACCGTCGAGGACTCTCCTGCCATCTCATCCCTCTCGCTTTTGCCCCTTTCGTCTTCGCGAAAACCCGTAGAAACGTATTTAGCGGATGTTCCGGTCGGCGACGCGAGATGTAATTTCGTTAGCCGCTACGTGAGTCGCCTGGCAAAAGTGCAAGATGAAAATTGCGTCTTCCAGAATGCTATTGGATTTACGACATTATAACGATCGAATCGAATCAACGACAAAGCATACGGCTTGAATCGTAGAAACGCAATGATAAGCATTCATCGTCATAGCAGTGAATTTACATATCTATTTCTTTAAGAATTAGTTATTTTTTCCTCAATTATTATGCGTTTTGTTGGACGATCTCTGGATACCACTGAACTGTCGTGACTACTTTTGAGCCGGCAATTTATTTCGTTCGTGAACGCGAAGCGCATTTAATGATGCATGCGACTTATTTTATGGAACTTATTCCATCGCGCGACAGCATAAATGTGACATAAATTTAAAAATCAAAATTATCTCGCGTTTAACAACTTTCATGTTGTGACGTATATATTTTTATCTTGATCAGCGATTCATCAATTTTAAATATTACATTTCAAACGGATTTTCAATGTTCGAGAAAAAGAGAGAAAGAGAGATTTAAAAGCTTTTTCATTAATGACATTAACATAATTGCATAAATTTCAAGTTATTATATACTTTGTAATTAAAGTTTTATTCTATTTCACAACAATTGCGCAAAAATGAGTCTAGACTTTTCTCAAATGACATCTTGCAAACGTTTTCTGTCAAAACTTTGTCGAAGAAACTTAAAATATTTAGAGACCAAACACAAGAAAACAAGTATATATATTGCAAAGTTTTGTCTCATCGTAACGAATTACGAACTGTCGCTTCGGGCGATCGACCCTTTGCATCGCTCAGACACTTCTTTATTTAGTTCGTCGAGCAAAGGTTCCCCATATAAGATGATTATCCGAACGATCGCCGTTATTGCTTTCCGAGAAGATGCCGCGCTATTTTAATTGAGCGTAACACCACATAAGATGGCGAGGGTCTCCGCGAAAGGCTACATTAGGTTTCCTGGAAGTGCAAATCTGTCGTGCAAACGGCACACGCCAAGTTTCTGTCTTATTCTACGAGTTAGTGGTTGGTTCATGAACCACGATATTTCGCATAGAGGATGTCGTCGATGACTTTGAATAATCGCAGTAATAACGGAGACAGCGCGGTTTAAACTTCTATTGCGGTTGCGTCCATTCATCGCAGGTGATATAATAATGTAGCTTTTGTCTTACAAACACACACGCACACACATTAAAAGATACGAGAGCCTTGATATTTTAATTCAAGAAAAATCAGTCAAAATCAAATAATTTACCATTAAAAATAAAATCAATTTTGACACATTTTAATGAGATAAAAAAATTTTTTAAACACAAATCAACTTTGATGTGCCATAAAAGTAGAAACTAAAATAATATTGCCATCTATTCTCTCGATGGCACTGTTTGTTCGTCGTAACGACATTCATCGCACTCATTCTACAAAAGAACCATAGGAAGTAGTGACAACGTTAACAGGAAAAGTGACATCGTTCGTTAGGTAGCTCCTAAAGCTCTCGTTAGACGTTGGGTAGCCGTCACCGTTTTATCCCGTCGAGAATTAATCGAATCGACGATAAAGTGGATTATGCGTCGAGGTTCGATGGGCCTCGATTCCATAATGCGATTGGCCATGCTCTTCCCGGGGGAGGTATTTTCAGCTTCCTTCAAGTATAATGATTCGTAATTAGATATTACCTGCAACGTATTAAGAAGGGCGCTTAATATCTTAATAAAGTTAGCGGGAAGTATTCGTAGTCATTATCTTAGGGTATTATAATTAACTAGCTCGCGAACGCGAACTCAACGGGGTGATTTTTTTCTTTTACTTTTAAACTTTTTTTTAAATGCTTCTGCGAGAATTTTCCAGAATTAAAATTGTATCGTGACATTCAATGAATATTTTCTACGACTATATGTTATTGGCAAAATTCTATATGTAGAAATCCAAAAAGTAAATCGTATATGATGAAAAACATTAGTATTAAGATAAAAAAATAAAATACGGAAATAAAAATCTAGACATATGATATAATGAAAAATAAATAGAGAATTTATGATTTTGATACCTTTATTTGATACTACCAATATTATATTCACTAGAGACGTAAACAAGAAATTTACTGATGAAAAACAAGTTGATGAGAACATCGAGTTTTATCGAGTATTTGCCACAGAGATGAAATCTTATACGCGAAATTTCAATTTTAATTGTACACTTCTGTCATTTTGTTGTCGATAAAGAATTACACGTCAGTGAACGAGAGAGAATAATTTACGCAGGTCGTCAGGCCAGAAAGGAGAAATCTGCGTTGAGAGGAAAGGGCTTTCGTAGGCTGACTGACTTTGTTACTCGTTCTTATCCTGAGCTTTTTGTCAGGTAAAAAGTTTCCCCGGGAAAAGGAACCAATTTAATAAGGCCTTAATAAACTTCCCCGAGGGAGGTAGACGCTTGGCGTACGGCTGTGTTTGACGGCTACTTCACGGTCTTCTTCTTTTTCGACATGAAGAGTAAATTCACGCTTCCTCGTAACGGAGTGGTATAACCCTTTATTGGCAGAACAGCGATACCGTGCACTCGCCATTCTCTTACTCTTTCTCTCGTGGTATGATTGTTAACCTTTTATTCCGCGTCAAGGGGTAGGAGTGAGACACGGAACTAGATTCATTGAATCAATAGAGTTGTGTGTTAGAAAATCTTATGACAATGCATTATGCCGAAAACTCATTTAAGTGTGCAGTATTTTTTTGCACATTATGCAAAATAATTATATATGTGATAACATGTATTATTTGTGGATTTAGTATAAATATAAATAGGTTTTTAAGTTATTATTATTATTAATTTATTTAATCTTTTAATATACTTAAGGACTGATATTTACATTGATTTTTTCTTTGTGTTGCAGAAATCTTCAAGGAAATAATATATCGGTGATATTCAAAACAGATTTTGAAGATATGGCAACGCTCCACGTTTTGTAAGTATTATTTTCTTACGATGATATGAATATCTGACGATCTACTCGAATCTTTAATTATCAAATAAATAATGAAATATAAAATATTAATTATATTATATTAATTTTTATGTTTGAACATAAAAAATAATTTCAGAAATATGCCTACTTAATTTCTCAATTACATTAATTATGAAATACAGAAATCAGAACTTTGTAATATATTATTTTGACATAAATATAAAGTCACTCATGTTTTTATTAGTGTTGTAATAACTCTTTTTCCAATTAATTCTATATATTAAAAAAAAATATATATTTATGCAGGTTGCTGTCCCTCAATCAAATTCACACTATCGAAAGAGGGGCTTTTCAAGATTTGGTGGCAGTGGAGAAGCTACGTCTAAATAACAATCAAATACGCCACTTGCCAGATCTTCTCTTTAGCAATATGATGAATTTAAAACGCCTGTAAGTACAAGATTGATCATACTAATATTTCTTATTACAATCTAGCTGAGTAAACATTGCACAATAGATTTATTGAACTTTATGTAAACTACAGAATTAGAGATAAGTATCTTCCGACATTTATGATCATTAACGTTAGATATTAAGCGTCTTGCTAACAGATTTGCTTGCATTATTGCGTTAATAATACAAATTCAAGATATCTCACCGTGCGAAAGATCGGCAAACAAACAAGAACAACAGAACTTGTTAAGAGCCGGTAACATGTTATATGTCGCGGGGTTTATGCAATCTGTCAGCGGTATACGCGGTACATAACGCAAGGCTAAATAACGCAGCAACATTGCAAGATAGGAGCGATGTTGCAACGAGTCTACATAACGTCATGAAAGTTCGTAATATCGTAGCAGCATCCGCACCGGTATTTCGCACGCGGATTTCTCGAGAAGCGAAATCTCGGGAGAATAATTACATATGAGATCAGTTGAATAACGTCAGGGATTTCATATATATATATATATACAATGCAGGCATACGCACAATAATGCACGTACATATTGTCGCCTCTATACATCCCTCTCTGCCCTTTTGCCTTTTTCTCTTCCGTCATTGTGTTATGCGCGACGACGAAGGTTATCACATAAACTTTTCAGACGACGGCCTACATACCTATTGTATGTACGTACTGCAAGAGGCACCCGAAGCCGGTAAGCCCGTGTAACTTGCCGCGCGAGTCGATCGAATGTCGACGCGCTGCTGCATACGCGACTTTTCACCCCGGGGTTTAGTTTCTTAAAGGTGATCGTTCGATATGCAACGCCACCCGCCGCGCCGTCCCGACACTTGCCTTTCGTCTCTGCACGCGACGCTCTAAAGTGTTTTCACTCTTCCGTGACCGGTTGCTTGAGTACGGGGTGCGCTATCGCTCACCGACTGTCTTATTAGCGTGGCCTGATTCGGGGGAGCAAAATGAATAGACAGAAAGAGTCCACGATTTTTGACATTTGCAAATACGAAGATTGATAAAGTCATTACATTAGCCAGACACAATCAATACTTTATATATTATGTATGAGACTTGATTAGAAAGCGTAATGCAAAATTCATTCATTTTGACCATTAAAAAACAGTACATTTTATATTTAGATAGGATAAAATCGATACTTTATATATTATGTATGAATTTTTTTATTAGAACGTAATACAAAATTCATTAACTTTGATTATTAAAAAAAATAGCAAATTTTATATTCAATCATTATGGGAATATTAAAAAATAATTAGAAAATAATTAATGTGCAAATATTTTTAAAAATATTGTATTTTGTACTTTAAGATTACTTGATTTTATTCACGACTTATCAAAGACCTTTCACATATTCCTGGCTACGGTTACACGATTTCAGAAAGTGATTGTGTCGAAAGAACAGACGGTCGCTCTGTATACACAAATTATGGTCATCCATAAGGTATCCCTGTCTCGAAAGCGAGGCAACTTCTTTCCACGACATGACTGGTCCTCCGTACCCAACATACGGTTCGCCTCTCGCTAACGAGAAGAACCACCTTGACGTTTATAAGAAATACCGATCCCTCGTGATTACGCTGTCCCGCCTTCGATGCTTTTCCTCCGAACGCGCGCCGTAACATTCTTCACGATCCGGAATCTCAATCAAATGCGGCACGACGCTACCTCGGTAGTAGAGAAAAAAAACCAAATAGAGACAGAGACCGGCTTGACGAGCAGCGATATCGCGTCTTTATCGCGATGGGGCACGAACCGTTTCCGTTCCGAGGTTCCTGGTGTTCCCGGCAGCTGCCAGCCACGCAGTCGAAAAGTGCGCGAGTCTTCTCCTCTCGTCGTGAATGACAGGACGGCGGGATCCGGGAAGAGAGTAGAGGCGCAAAAAAAGAGAGACAAGAGGAACGGTGCGGCAGAAAGCGAAAAAAGAAAGAGAAAAAGAAGAGAGAAAGGGAGAGGAGGAGATCGTCCATCTATCATCCTGCAAAGTGGGCAAGATGGACGGGACTCGAAACCTCCCGACTCTCTTTCTTCGAGGCTGCGCTTCGTTCGGACATAACCTGCAGTTTCTGACGATAAGGCTGGAGCAGCCACCTTACAAAAGGACGTATTATGTTACGACCTTACGGCGAGATTCCCACGAGCGTTCGGATGCCCGATAATCCTTCATCCGGTACGGATAAATCGGCGTTAAAATCGTAAAGTGGAAGATGCTAATTCGCGCACTGTTCCGGCCGTTATTCAGAAACTCTCAGAAACTCGTAATTCCGCGACAGCTTGCTTTGCAGAGCGCTTCTCCAAGATATTTCTCTAATTTATAATTAAATCAGACCTTCCGCATTACAAAACTCGATCTATCTTTCCTTTTCTCTTTATAAAGATTCCTGGTACGAGATTCTGCTTTTTGTCGAAAGAATCAACGAAGCAATGTCATATCGCAATATTACTTTTTGTACGCTTCCTTCTTACACAATATTGTAATATTACGACGAGAGATTTACCAAATTTTTATATACGCATAAATGAATTTATATATCATATATATATACACATAAATCTTACTATATAATTAAACTATTCTACAGCCAAACGTGATTCAGAAAATCATCGTTGATACAACAGAATCTCGAACCTGATAATTGAGCGATAAGTGGACAGCCAATTAATTAAAACCCTCCTTAATGCTCGGTCGAAAGCCACGTGGACTTAATTATGTGCTCGTCTGGTAAATTCGACGCTGACTCGCCTGACTCGGATATGTGGGCAGATCGTGTGGTGAACGTAACATATGATTAACCCATCGCGCAAACGTAAAAAGATACGGTATTCCATACGATAAGAGGATGAAACCAACGTGGTAATAAATGGTTTGACACAATGGAAAGGGGCGCGGGCACTTCGCTGATTAGTATCACTCCGTCGTACGGTCGTATTTGCGGCGCTTGTAACGCGATATACAGCAACGTGAAAGCTTGTATTTTACGACTACGACGACGACGTTGCAAAACATTTGTCCGCCGTAACGCTTAAGCGTGATAATAACCAGGACAAACGTTCGCCGAATTGAACCAAAGTCGCGCGAATGATTTAGAGGACAAAATTCGAGAACCCGAGGAGGCCGCGGTGGCTTTCAACGTCGACAAATTATAGGCCCGTCATACAAGGAGCCGTGCACTCAATCCCGGTTTATCGCTCGAGCGGCTATAATAATTATCGTACAGTTGTTATCGTGTATCCCGACGATCGTAATATGCTGTATTATGCAGCCTTCACGACCCTTGCAGTAAATTCCTCTCGTCCTGACGTATGGTGTTATATCACGTGCGAGTCGGATGTAAAATCGCGTTAATATCATCTGACATTTTCATATATATATTCTTCAAAACGTAATTATATCTGCTGACGCACCGTAAACACGCTGTTACTTTATTTTTATTCTATTTTCCATATTACGGAAATAAATATATTAATTATACGAAAATTAATTAATAATGAATTAGAATAATGTCTCTTCGAGGAAACGCAAAGTTTTCAAACTGCCGCGCAGTTGTACAACTCACTCAAGTACGCTAAACAAAAAGATACCAGAAATCTCAAGCAGAGTGTTATTATAAAAATTATTAAAATCACATATACGCGGGAATGTTTCTGTATAACATTTTAAGGATCGAAAGAACGCGCGATTGATTATAATTCTCGGCGCGTCTCGACTAATCTCCCCCTCGAAATTTCGCAATCCCTCGTGAATTACGCAATTATGCCACATCAAGGTTGTAGGAAAAGATTGTAAGGCGCGGACCTTCTGTTGTGAACAGAAGCAAGCGATTCCGTCGGATCTCGTTTTGTCCCGTTCTTATCGCGGTAACCCAGTTAGCGGCGCCAGCAACATTTGGAATTGGACAGGCCGGTCGCGAAAGGCGAGGACCTTTTGTTAATTTCGCGCGGGGGCGGCCACGTCGAAATTCGGTAATTGCTTTCTGGATTGGCCCGAGCGAGCTGGGAATTATTCTAGCTCCCTCGTCTTACATGCCACTAAAGTACGTACAAAGCAAATGCCCGATATGCTCGTTTTCCCTATTGAATATCGTCGCAGCTCATTAATTATCTAGTCTCCGAACTCGCTGAGCTTGAAGATGTGATAGATAATAAATCCAGTTTGCTTATTTTATCTTAAGTTTTTTCCTCTGATTATAATACGCGTAATTGCGCGAATTGCATTCATTTTCGTAATCGATTGCTTGTAATAACGAACGGTATTTCGTAGTATAACAGGCTTTAGTGTTCTCTTTGTCGAATCAGCATACATAGTTGAAATTCGTATATTGCTTTTTGCGATTGGAACGCACTGGGAATTTAATATCCCAAGTTTCTACATGTTGAACATATACTCCGAATTCTAGTTTTTCATTATCATATTTATCATACCCTTTTGTTGTTACATCTTGTCAATTTATTAAACACGTTATTCGTATACGAATATAAAATATTTTCAATTTATTAGTAAATATATATATATATTCGTTTCTTTCGAAATACTTTTTCTGTTTTTATCAAGATTTTGCCGAGATGTCAAATATATAATTTCTGATTAATAATCGACAGTTATGAAACTATTGTATTTTTAGTTCGTTCCATAGTTTCGCGAATTGTTCTAAAGTCTAAAGAGAGAGAGAGAGAGAGACAAACTTTTATTGCACGGCATGTGACAAACGTTTATTCGATGACACGATCAAACTCTATGGGGACAATAATATTTCGCGCCGACCAACTCGAACGCGAATGACGCGAGTTCCCTTTGTGCGTTCGGAGCAGACGCGGCCGCGCTTCGAAATTCGGTAATTACTTTCTGGATTGGCTCGAGCGAACTGGGAGTTCAATCTCCCAGTCTCACACTCTCATCTTACGTTCCCCTCGTCGTCTTTCTTTCTCTCTCTTTCTCCCGGTTTACCACCTCTCTCCCATTCTCTGTTTCGCAATTTTATTGTTCTTCTCTTTTTCTCTCGTTCCTTTCCCTCGCAAACATAATTACAGATTACGAGTTCCAACCCAATGCACGGTCAATGGCAAGAGCCGTACTCCGAGACCACTAACCTATCATCACAAGCCTCTGGTTAACTCAGACCTCGAGAAGAGATTTCGAGGTTCCACGATATCCGCACGCTTTTCGAGAGATTCCAACCACGCCATTTGTCTAATCCTCGATCGTTCAGAGGTGTCTTTTCGTATCAGTGGGAGACGATTCAATTATTTGTTAATTCTTATTCGTTGTTTCATTAGCGTATTTAATTATACAGTGAATACAAGGTGTCCCAAAATTATCGGCCACTCTGTTAATAGGGAGATTTCGAAGGTTATTTGGAGACGATTTTTGCTCAGCAAAAAATGTCGAGGGAGATCTCAATTTTTGCCATTATGTATCTTTATAACTAAGCCTTAAATTAAAATTGTACTAAAGTCAACTCTACCTGAAATTAATTGAAGAACATGATTTTGTTAATATTTTATTTCCACAAGACTTAGTTTGCGAAAAACCCTTTTTTCAACCGCTTATAACTTGAAAATTATTGATGCCTCGACATTTTTGCTGAGAAAAAATCGTCTTTAAATAACCTGAGAAATTTCCCTATTAACAGGGTGTCCGATAATTTTGAAACACCCTGTATAAAAGATAAATATTTAGTCTAATGTAGGTATGATTAATATTATTTTTTTATATTTGTGATAGTCGCATATTTTTAAAAACATGGATTTATAATATGAATAAATGTACACAGAAAAGACTAAATTTCTATTATCTTGAAAAGAAGAATGAACTAATATAGCTTTCACATCAATTTAGTACAGTTCTCAGATTTAAATCTCTTATTATTTTTGAATAAATTTTAACGACAGGTGAAATTAACTTTCGTATGATTATGAGGTATGTTAAGATGCTCGTAAGAAGTCAACTGTCGCGTGAGACTATGGAAATGGTTTCTCGTTACACGGGTAATGATCTAGCCACGATGAAGAGTAAGTCTATAGTCTATAGTCACTCACGTGACGGTTTGGTGCACGTGTGCCCGGTCGCACGCACGAACGACAACTTTCCGGGAGATAATCGGAGGCGCGCGAAGGAGATACATACATTTGCCGCGGCATTCGACGCTCTTGAATAATTGATCGAAAATGTAGGACGAACTCGCGACTATGGCCGCAATAAAGTGGAACGAGCGGGTGTTGCACCGATGATGGTGAACGTGGTCATCCGCCTTCGAGAACGTATAGGTCGAGAGGTCAATGGACAGTCGCGAGTTTGTAACGCGGTTCTGGCGAACGTGACGCTGATGGATTTTGGTAGTTTTTACGTGCACGCGCGAAATAGTCGCATGTACGAGAAATTAGGACAAAGCACTATTGAATTGGAGTATGCTTGAAAAATCTGATTTAATTTGATTAAAAAGAGAATCAAACTCACGCATACGCTCGCGCACATACCTGATATATGTTATACTGCCAAATGTATTTTAAAAATGTATGATGTATGACAGAAAAAACAATCAAATTTTTAGTTTCTGATTCCCTTTTGAAATTCCCAATTTCAAAATTGACTGAATAAGAAAAAAAAACAGTTGTTTTAAATATTTCTATTAATACTCTTCTGTAATTTCTTAAAAAAGTGTGCGTAACTAAATTAACAAAATGTTTTTATATATTTTATATGTATGTTTGAATTTTTTAATTTATTGATTGTATAAAAAACTGTATTGATATTAAAGATAATAATTACTAGATTTAACTAAAAAAATTATTTAATTAATAAATCATGATTTGATGTTTAGAAAAAATATTATGTTATATTTCAGAGACCTCAGTCACAATCAGATTGCCACCATAGGACCAAAGACGCTTAGAGGAGTGTCCGCTCTTAGACATTTGTAAGTATCTTATCGGACGTACTTACTACAAAGATAAATTGTTTTGTAATAATCTCTCTGAAGATCATTTAGTCAAAGTCTAATAGTTCATTATAAGCTAAGCTCAAGATGTTTTATATATAACAACTTTACTCACATTACAAAATTAATGTTCGAAAACAAAAATCTAGATAAAATCTACAATTGTGTGAGTCTACTTTTAAATATATACATGTATATTTACTACTAATATATAATACTATAGTATTTATATATATATATATATATATATATATATATATATATATATAAGGAATACTACAGTATTATGTTTTTTTTACATTTTAAATCTTTTTCTATATCATGTACCAAGTTTTCAGTAGTAATATCCAGTATGGTCAGACAATTCCAAAATCCAAGTGTACTCGAAAAGGCAAAACTTTGAGATGTTATACAATTATAATATTTTTAAAAGTTTATAATTTACATTGTACTAAATTATTTTGCTTATTCACTTATTTGAAAAACAATGGTTACTTTTTTTCTAGATTACTCGACAACAACGTATTGACCTGCATAGACGAAGCTTCGATACGAGAATTGAAAGATTTAGAAATATTGTAAGTAGAGATAGATGTGTCTGTCAAAATTATTTAAAGTGGATATTATATAAAAATAATTTCGCGCTTGATAGAAGATAAATACGTGTTAAATATTCATTTTAGAATGCTAAACAACAACAAACTCATAACGCTCGGCAAGGAGATGCTGAACGGCTTGTCGCATTTGCGAACTTTGAAGCTTGCGGATAACGCTCTCGCTTGCGATTGCCATTTAGCATGGCTATCGCGTCATTTGAGGAGTTATCCTCGCCTAGGGCAACACACACGATGTGCATCTCCGGCTCATCTCAAGGATCGCAATCTCGCCGATCTACAGGTAAGGCTGATTCGAGAGACAAATTATCGTCGATTAAACTTTAGTTTGCAAAATCTACAAACGTTAATTTCTCATTAGAATTTATATAGATACTAACATATTTATCACATACTAATACATTACAAATGTATTATATCGTTATTGAATTATTTACGTTAATTATTAATTTATTAATCGTCAAACTTCCTAATAAAATAAAATAGTCTAATCATTAACCTCATACTGTACGAGAAAGAATATTATAGCACAGCATTTTAACAATCATTAAATTCATCGATACTCTTTGTTGACCTAATTCGTGCTTACGACTTTTAAACCTTTGTTTGCAGGAGCACGAGTTCAAGTGTTCGGGCTTGGTTGAGCGTACAGGATCGGAATGCAGCGCTGAACCCCAGTGCCCGCATCCTTGTAAATGCGCTGAGGGGATCGTCGATTGCAGAGAGAACTCCTTGACGAAAGTGCCAACCCACCTTCCCGAGGACACCACTGAGTTGTAAGTAAAACCGCCGCCCTATGTTCGCGCATTGTGTGTGTATTTTATATGTGTCTTTGTCTGAAATTTATTTCTTGTTCGAATATTCGATAATGTAAACTGACTCAAGTACATATTTCTACCTCAAATATGCGTTAATTTATTTTTTTATTGGGCACTTATAATTATTTGTTCTGACAAAAAAATAATAAAAAATAATATTTATAATTTTTCAAATTTATGATTTTTATAAATAATATTCCAAAATAATCTTATGTAAATAGTTTTTTGTGAAGTCTAACAAACAAACTAATAATACATATGATAATAACACAAACATAAAAAAAATTTATTTTTATATTGTATATGTCGTATAGAAAATAGAAAAGATTAATGAAATACAAATAGATAAAAAGTGATATATTTAAAATGGCCATTAACATAAATGTGCTTTGTTTATTTATATTTGTAATTTGTTTTTTCTTGGTTGTCCCTACAGACGATTGGAACAGAATGGCATTACGGAAATTCCACCCAAAGCCTTCTCACCGTATAGAAAATTGCGAAGAATGTGAGTGACGTTCGTGACTGACCTGCTCTAACATATATATACACACTATTATTCGCGCACGAAATGTTTAATTTTGTATGTTTCCGATTTTTCCTCTGCAGTGACCTGAGCAACAACCAGATAAAAAAAGTAGCAGCAGACGCTTTTCACGGTTTAAAATCTCTCGAATCTCTGTATGTATTTTTTTGCTTTTTATTGACATGTTTTAAATAATCGCTTATTTTGTGCAACAATAAACGGTGATATATTTCGTTGCAGAGTTTTATACGGAAATAAAATCACGGAACTACCGGCTGGTCTTTTCCAAGGCTTAACAAATTTGCAATTGTTGTGAGTAGATACAGAAAAGTAGGAAACAATTAAAGTTTAGACCCAAGAGATATTGCATGATAAAAATCTTATAGAAAATAATAAAATAAAATATATGTAGATAGTCTTTCTTACATGATGTGAGGTCAACTTTAAGAAGGCGAGAAGAATTAATAATTCATATTATAACTACTGAAGAAAATGTTTTTATTCATAGCCTTACGTATTGTTCTCGCTTTCCCGTGAGGTATTGCAATGAAGCAACTGTTGAAAATTATGGCGAAACTTATTGTTTCAGGTTGCTGAATGCCAATGAGATATCATGCATACGAACAGACCTGTTCAAAGACTTAACCAGTCTCACCTTGTTGTCTTTATACGACAACAATATACGTTCATTAGCTAATGGGACTTTTGCCAACTTGCGAAGCATTAAAACGCTGTTCGTATTATTAATAAAAAAATTTCTTTTAAACATTAGCTAGTTTATCCTAGCGAATTAAAAAGTTTTTTTTTATAAAAAGCATTGTTCTTAAAATCAAGAAAATATTTCTAACAATTTTTAATGTATTTCCAGTAACCTAATTCTTTTTTCACAGACACTTGGCGAGGAATCCATTCATCTGCGATTGCAATCTACGATGGCTGAGCGCGTATCTTCACGCGCACCCTATAGAGACATCCGGCGCTAAATGCGAAGCGCCAAAAAGAGCGCAGAAACGGAAGATCGATTCGATGCGGGACGACAAGTTCAAATGTAAGGGTAAGCACAATTTGACTTTTCCGGTATATCTCTTCTTAACACTTCGGCAGGATAGAATACAGGTCGGTAGTTTATGTGGAGGAAGATATATTGCACGATGAATGTAAATAGGTCCCTATTATTCGCTGACTTGCATTCACATTTCACATCTTCGCGAATTTTTGTATTATCATATATTCATACACATATCTGTGAAATTAATCTCATCATCTTTGCATCTCGACATAATTTATATAAATATTGTCATTACTCATTTCATCTTGGCTTTCATTAAAGCTTGGCTGAATCATTAAGATCAAAACGTGCACTTATTTTAAATAGAAAATTACAAAAAAAAAACAAAATTAGAATTAAAAGATAAAATTAATTCAAGATCTATAAATGAATATTTTCTCTTGCTGAGGAAGAATTGAAAAGCGACATAAAATTATTGAAATTGATCGATCGTATTTATTATCAATCACCCAATAGGTGATGGCACACGACGTGCCACTTCCGAACCGATCCTCGGTTTCCATTTTCACTCGTGTGAAATCACCCACCGTTACTTCCAATGCTTCTTGCATCCCATATCCAGACACGTACGTCTTCTCCTTTCTCTCTGTCTCGATTCTTCTTCGTTCTTGTCGACACGTCCGGAACAGGTGACCAGACGATCTATATAGGTGTTCTCGCACAGTAGGATCCCTTGATAAATGCTGGTCACTTTGCCGGACGTATGTAATTGCCGATGGATGTATCTCGCTAATCTAATATCACATGGTAGGTATGCATTAATGTCAGTCGATGTTATTATGTGCATTCGCAGGCACGCTCGCAAACTCGTTTCGTTCGTACGAGCACGAACGATAATCATTTACCGAAATAAAGCTGCATACAAATGATTGATGTAGATAAGCGTGCCCTAGAAAGATTGCATTTTTGGTGTTTTATCTGACTGCCAACATGAAATTTTACGTTAGCTCACGGAAGAAAATCGTAAGAAAATATTCGAGCACGTTATACCGTTCAGATATAAGGATGCTGGATACAGATAAGGATATTATGAGTTATGTATACATAACTGCTTTAAATTTTAATACGCATTGTCGTTTTGATATTCTTCCCATATTTTAGACAGACGGTTGAAGATGTTTCCACAATATTACATCATTTTTACATACAAAACAAACTTGTATTTTTTATTATTTAAAATCGTTCCTATCTTGGATGAATATCAAATTTTATCGTAAGACGTACACACGTATACACACTACATATATTATATATGATTTGCAATATGTTATTATATCACAATTTGCAAATTTTGATACGCAGTTTACAAGAATTTTATATCTCGATTAGTTTTATTAGTCGCTTGCATTTATCATTTGCTTTTCACAATTTTTATATAATTCGAGAGAAATACGTACATTGAAAGTGTACAGATATCATTACATTTCTCTGAAATGCACGATAATGACATACATTTTCCTGAACAATTCGTACGTTTGCTACATGCATTTGACAATAAGTTTCTAACATTTCTATGTGGCTTTAAGTTTCGGCTCGAATGTATTTTCCATGTATGCCACTTAATTCTCCAAAAAAACGTATACGTATGCTGCTGTACTTACAGTGCATATATGTACATACGAAAATGTAGGATTGAGATGCAAAAACCGAAGAATCGCGTAACATCTTGCTTGTTAACGTCTTGAATTACTAAATAATCGCGCAAATAAATTTGATATAGAAGAAATTGTTCCGCGACTTGTGATATTAATCAATATTCTCCAAAAAAATTAATTTCATATGTTTATATAAATATTGATATAATCCTTGCCATCAATATATTGATAATCAAAATTTATATGATCTAATGTCGCAATATATTTAAAAAATCAATATTGTTAAAGAGATAGAAATTCGCTTTTAAGAAATAAACAATATTTATTTAAATTTATATTGTTATTCTGATTTATATTCACGTTTTAAGAAGAAATAAAAATCAGATTGTTACATTATTCCGACAGCATACGAGCATAGTTAATACTACTGGAAGAAATGATGATATCCATCTCTAACGCGACTTACCCCCTGTATACCTTGTATTTATACAAAACTCAATTCAGAGTTAGTGGAAAACAAACATGTTGGTAGCACACATATGTGCACACATAGGTATATGTCGGTATAAACGCGCATAACTGCTACGTATAGCTTTGCAAACAAGAACTTACGTTACCAGCGTAAAACTTGTATACAATTTTCGCAACTTGCGCGCCGCCGGCTACACAGCAAAAATTTACACAATACTCTTGCTTCTGTTTTACGAAGGATTTCGCGAGAATTAGGAGAAAAGTGCTTTTAGTCTTTGCAGAAGGAAACGAATGTCGCTTCTTAAACAGCACTCCCGTAAGAATATCACCGAAGTGGTTCGTTGAAAAGTGGATCAGACAACGGAAAGTAATCGATTAATTTTAACTTAGCAAATTTATACTTTTTGTTTTACTATTTACCTTAATCTATAACATACGTAAAACTAGTTTAGTTTGTGTAAAACAAATATCATTACGAAAGTATATTATATGATACTTTCTTTATTTTGATATATTAACTTGTACTATTTTATATTTTATATTGTTAATTATTAATTAAATATAATAGCTTATAATTCGCGGTTTTATTCGTTTATAAAATGCAACGTCAAATGCAAAAATGGAAAAAATAAGCATGCATGCTCATTCAATATCGGAAAAGAGAAAAACCAATTCTTAGTTTAATTATTCTGCTTTCTTCTCTTTTAACGATCTTTTAATGGCAAATAAAAATTACTATTATATTTTGACTACCGTAGAAAAAAACAATCAATATGCATCATATAAGCATTATACACGGTGCAATGTGTATCGTCAATATAATTACGTATGCGTACATCACACCCGGCAAATTGTAATGTGGTGTATAATACGATGATAAATCATTTCTGCCGTAGCCGCATTCATACATAAACATATTTAGTCCTCAACACTAACGCACGACGTTAAACACTCGATTAACGTGCAAGCACATACGGCATCGCGCGTACGAGTTCGTTTAACGACGTCATTAATTACACTGTTCATTATCAAAATTTATCGTTAATGAATCGACATCATCATTATCATCATCATCATCATCACGTTTATCGTATGATTATGTCGTCTGACCGACGTAATTTTCACGAAGGAATGCTTCGGAAACGCGGCATTCATTCGTGACCGAAATGTCAAATGACGCTTTGCGCGCACGACACGTGTACATTATTCCCGTCTTAACTTGGAAAAGGATCGTGATCGAGTGCGGAAGTGTTGCTCAGGCGCGATTGTTCGAGTTCGACTCTATCTCGAAACTTTGTCCGCAGGTGACGAGGAACTGTTAACAAAAAGGGCTGGCGAGTGCATTCTGCCTGGCGCCTGTCCCGCGTCCTGCACGTGCAACGGTGCAACGGTTGATTGCTCCAACAAGAGATTAACTGCGATACCGAAGGACCTGCCGCTTTATACGTCAACGCTGTAAGTACTTCTTAATTGACATGTTAAACTTGCACGCAATAAAAGAACATGATTAGTTCGCTGTTACAATCAACGATAAAAAATTTTATCAGAGAAAGCTCTATATAAATTGTTTTTTTAATCTTTTTCTTGATATAAACAAATCGATAACGAAAAAATGATAGATAAAAAACAGATAATTTCCGTTAAAGCTTCCTCTAACAATATTTTACTTGTCGTTACATCGCGAGAGCGGCAAACGTAGGCGTGTAAAATGAGAGAACCAAAGGCAAACTCAATTTATGTCATACAGGATGTAGCAGCATCCGCAATATATTTCATGCAGTTATGTTTGTCACGCTGAACGCACTTGCACCGTGAACATTTTAGTGCCGCCCGAAATACTATGTGACATCGCGTTGATGAAGAGGTAGTTGGTTGATCTAAAATAAGAGAGATATTCCCGCCAAATATTTTGTTATTTAAGATATTCGAGTAAAAACAATAGCGCAATTTATACCTTCGCCAGATAATTCTGTATCTCGTAATTAAAATTATAACAAGGTGCTTGCAATAAATAATGAGTAATAATTATACGCTACAATATATATATATATATATATATATATATATATATATTAATGCGATATAATTATACCATTATAATTTTCATAATATCCCGCACTGAAAGACTTATCTATTCAATACAGCAATTGATGATAAGTACAGATCTAGATAATGACATCAACATTTAAATGGGCAATGGATACACATAATGTGCCACAATATTATTAGCAATATTAAAGACTGAAATTACACAAGCAATTAATATCGGTATTAAATACAACGCTGGTGTTAGCTCGAGTGATAATCATTTTTAGCTAATGGCAACAATTAGCGCGTTAAATACGGACATACATGTGCATTAATAATCCCTGGTATAAATTGCAGATTGCAATTGCAAAACAATTTACACAAGAAGATAAATTAAAATTAACAAAAAAATTGATTAAACCGTTCAAATATATATAATAAAATATATTTAACAATAAAAAAATATAATAAAATGCTGGGAATAAGTGCAGTAAATTTTATTAGCTTGTTGTACAAATATGTCATTTGCAAATATTAATAATATTATATAATTTAACATTATGCACATTTTTTATTATATATAATTATAGACTACTCTTACTTTTTTATGAGGAATGTTCATTTCAAATGTCGGACAAGTCGATCGATCAGTCGGGACGGTCCAGTCGAGTAGTTAAAATGAATATCATTCGTCTGTAGAAAATTCCTCATCGCTTCGCTCGAATATTAATTCGATCGTCGAACCAGATAATCACCTGATTAAATCGTGGAATGCGATGGAAAAAAGACAATGATGAGATCGGGCTATTATTCCCAGTAAATTATGCATCCGGTCCGTTTAATGGATCGGTGCTTTAGAAAATAATTTCTCGATACCATTCAATAAGAGAGAGAGAGAGAGAGAGAGAGAGAGAGAGAGAGAGAGAGAGAGAGAGAGAGAGAGATTGATGCATATGTATCAGTTCTTAAAAATAAAAATACATAGTCAACGTACATAGCAAATTCTTTTTCTACTATGTATACATGATCTTTAATTTTTTTATTATTTTATTCGTATTTTAAATATTATAGTTTCTTAATAAATCTGATATACTATACTCACAAATTTATTTTTATTCTCTCGCAATCGGATATTTTTGTCGAAAAACTTTAAAACTTTACATATATTCGAAAATAAAACAACGAGCGTTACTAATAATTGTTATAGGAATTGCATTTATCATTTTACTTTATTTCATGTGCGCATAGCGTACATTTTTATATTCCGATAGGTTCCAAGTTAATAGTTTTAGCTGAACGTTAGAATATTAATTACGAACGAAGCAAAACAATCAACTGCACAAGTTACACTATTGCTCGGTATATCGCACGAAAATTCTGCAACACACCAATTTCTGCATGAGAGTTATTCCAGCGCGCAATTCGCAAAATTTATTGGGCGGCGCATTGTTATAACGCGGTAGAGAGAATAAATTGCTCGGCGGGTAGTCGAAAACAAGTGATGGAGTAACGAACGGCAAGTACCAATTTCGCCCTTTTCCCTCTCTCTCTCTCTCTCTCTCCTGGATTTTTTTTTTTTTTTTTTACTATTCGCTGTTTGACTAACGATATATACACGCCACAAAACACGCAAGCATTTCGACGCGATCATAGCCGCGATCTCGCTCTACATACAATTCTTTTTCGCTTGTACGTTCACGCCAGACTGTTGAGCAACAATGAACTGGACAAGATCAAAGGCGACGGCCTCTTCGAGAAGCTGCCAGAGTTGCAGCATTTGGACCTCAGGAAAAATAAAATCTCTCGCATCGAGGCGTCCGCCTTTCAAGGAGCTCACAATCTCACCGACCTGTAAGTCAACCCGAATTTACGCCGCTTCCATTTAAGAAGCCAGCTTCTTCACGATGTCGTCGCGTCGTCGTTGTCTTTCCGGAAAACTTCGCTTTTGCCAGGACAATAGAAGTCGTTTTAGAAGTACCGTTGTGTAACGCCAGAATTGTTTTCTTTGCGCGGCTTTCTTAGTCGATATTTTCAACTTTAGAGAATCTTCCGGGGAATTTTCGAAGGCTACAATGGCCCTGAGAAAATTATTAAAACAATGCCGACGGTTTTCCATTAAAGACTTGAGTGACATCTTGAATATCTATTTAATGGTTTGTGAAATTTTATTCGCAAATATAATTTGTATCTGCATACTGATTACCAGAAATATTACAATGTCACAACTACTTTTATTAAAAAGTAATCTATTAATATAGTATATACTAATTAATATAATATATTAATTAATTTAATAATATATAAACATTGTTTTAATAATTTTTATATATTGTAAAAAGTAAATAATATACGAGCATTTTAAAACTGTAACTACTATATTAGCTTTTCTTGTCATCTATAATATTTTGTACAATGCATAATTCAGATGGCAAGGATTATAAATCCATATAATTAATAACTATATATTTATAAAGCATTTTGAACATTATTTCGGAATCATTTTACGTTTTGTCTATTCTGGGTTAAAGAATGTGTTTTAATAAAAGTTATACGTACATCACGGTGCCAGCTTCAAAACGTTTCGCGTACTTTTATGTCTTTCGTGTTCGTATGCGTTGAATGATATTTATCGACTCGTAAAAATAACGGCAAATTGTAACGTGGTAAAATTCAATTCTCAATCTTTTTTCATTTTGTCGTATGCCTCGTTTCGCAAAGTGACAAAGCTTTCTTTTCGCAGACTTTTATCCGAGAATAGGTTACGAGAAGTACACAACAAGATGTTTTCCGGTCTAACGAATCTTAAAACGCTGTAAGTACCCTCATTGATACAACATATCGTCTTCGTTTATAAAACGATATCGCACAATATAAACGCTGATTCATATAATTAATTCTCTGTGTAGGAATCTCGTCGGTAATTCCATTACGTGTGTTATGCCAGGATCGTTCGATGAAATGCCGCATTTACGATCTATGTAAGTAAACATTTATCGGTTGTAAAATCATGTATGGTATAAATATAATTCCACTTATTTCTTATTTTCTGTATCATTTAATATATTTTTCGGTATTTGCAGCAACATGCAAAGTAATCCGCTATCATGCAACTGCTATCTCGCGTGGTTTGCTGGATGGCTGAGGAAACGAAATATAGATGGAATCAGTGGCCATTGTCATGATCCGCCGCGATTAAAGGACGCCATCATAAAAGACATTCCTCATCATGAGTTTAAATGCACCAGTACGTAACACCTTCAATATATAATCCAATTAATCGCATTTAAATATTGCGCAACTATAGATAGATACATTTACCTTCGTGTAATTTGTATTATCGTATTTTATATCGCATTCAATGGTCGATCAGATCACTATGAATTTGAAATAGAGAACAAATATGATACTATATGCCGTAAAATATTCAATCGAACGTAGTTTTGCATGCAAACTGATTCGAACACGTACAAAATCGATATCAATCTACATATTAATTAAATCTATACGAATTTGTTTGTACGTTCGATTTACATGTCATCCGGATGGCGACCGTGAAGAAATTTCAGAAATAAGCCAGTCACTTTCACTAGAGCGTCTTTATTCGTTTCCATAAAATAATATTCGCGATCTGAATTGCAAATCCTCGTTAACGATCCACCAACCGTTTTACACCCATCAGACGACAGCGTGGGTTGCCTAGGCGACGATTACTGCCCGCCTCAATGTAATTGCGCGGGTTCGGTGGTGAGATGTTCGAGGTCTCAGCTTACAGAGATTCCGCGCGGGATTCCGCCGGAAACCACCGAGCTGTATTTGGACGTGAACGACATCAAGACGATCCAGCCGGAGAGGCTGAACCACCTGAGGATTCTCACCAGACTGTAAATAACACACGCGTGTACCATCCGTATATCTTTCGAGCGGCTTTCGCCATGTTTTAACGTCCGCTTCGTTTTCAGGGATCTGAGCAACAACCAGATTGGAATGCTGTCCAACGATACCTTTAGGAATCTTACGAAGCTGTCGCACCTGTAAGTCGAATATTTATTCCGCCGAGAGTTTTCTCGTAAAAAAACCTGGCAAAACGATTTATGTAATGTATGACGCGTGAATCTCTTTTGCAGAATCATCAGTTACAATAAATTGCAATGCGTGCAGCGAAATGCTCTCGCGGGATTGAAAAATCTGCGCATAATGTGAGTCACATTTACGAACATTACTCGGCTAAAGTTTTTATCATACCTTTTTATTGTCGTCGCGAAACGATTTATGCACATACTTTTATGCACCCGTTCGTAGTTATTGATATTTTGTAGTACTAAACGGAGACCATTTAATAAGCGTTCTCTATTAACGGAGCAGAAATAAAATTTAACATTACTATATAATTGCGTTAAAATGCGAATAAAATTTACATTAAACTTTTAATTCGATTCATAGTTGTAGCACAATGGAGCCATTAATCCTAATAAAGTAAAATTCCATAATGTTAATCATAAAAGTCATAAATTGTTAATCGATATCTGAGTCTTTTTATCCGAAGAAAATAAAATAAAAAAAAATTTAATGCCATTATGTCTCGATAGCGCGAAAAATGCACAATAATCTCGTTTTCAGTTCACTGCACGGCAACGACATATCGGTCATCCCAGAGGGAGCGTTCGAGGACCTCAAGTCTATAACGCATCTGTAAGTATCGTTCCGTTTTGTAACCACACACACTCGATTTTCGGCACTAGCAATTTATCGATGACAATATTTACAGCGCTCTAGGGTCCAACCCGCTTTACTGCGACTGCAGCATGCGGTGGTTGGCCGAATGGGTGAAGAAAGATTACGTGGAACCTGGCATAGCCAGGTGCATGGAACCGCCTGCAATGAGAGACAAATTGCTTTTGACGACACCGGCTACTGCCTTTCAATGCAAAAGTAAATATTTTATAAGCGTATATCTCGATTGCGGGCAAAATGGCCAAGAGACTCCACTTGCCGTCAAATTAATTAGTTACTACTCGCGAATAATACGGCAATTACGCCTGCATAATTTGTTAATACAAATAATATAAAAACGAACAATCATTTATGCCATATTTACAACGTTTTACTTAAGTGTGCTTTAACATTTATTAATATCGTTTAATAAAATATTCACCACTTAAAGCAGAAATGCAGATTGTTATCCTGCTTAGTAAGCTTCGTTGTAAAACGATCCATTGAATATCGATTTTCCATTAGATTTAAATAGCTTTTCATTCTATTTAATGACTATTTATTTCAACAGTAAATCGGTACACAGAATCCGTAAAAGAGGCAAGTGGGAAACCTTCTCAATCCTTGGCCATTATTGATCCGCGATCGCGTACTAATTGTCGCACGTGACGGTGTTTTTGATTTTTCGTAGTATAACGCGACGCAGTCTGTTTAGTTCGTGGTTTTTTGGCCCAACATCACGGTAGGGTACTAAAATTGCTCATTAATCGTAGACCTTTCTTCCGCGCAGCCAAGCAACAGCCAGCCGAAGTCTTGGCCAAGTGCGACCTGTGTTACACCTCGCCATGCGAAAATGGAGGATTTTGCGAGGCGCTTCCGGACCGGCAGTTCCGTTGCAAGTGCACGCCAGGATATCACGGGGACCGGTGTCAGCATAAAATTGACGCGTGCTATGGAAATCCTTGCAGGAACTCCGGAACTTGCAAAGTACTGGAGGAAGGAAGATTCAGGTACTTAGCAAACGCGACAGTCGGAGTCTTGATCAAAGTAGTGGCTCGTCGGGCTGACTTTAGAGTTGTTCGTTCAGTGGTACCCGTAGACAGCGTTTGCTATATTGTATCGTATCCAGACGAAACTTCCTTCGAGATCCTCTTGCGTGAATGCCCTACAGCTGTTTCTCCTCTCTCGCGTTAGCGCCTCTTGTCCTTACGAAATTACGTAGAATTTTCACTATATATATCGTGTAAATTATAGTCAAACGCATAATTAAGCAAGATATTGATGACATCTAAATTTTATTATTAGTTTGATTATTGTCTTCAAAAAAGAATCATAATCAAATAAATAATAATAATAATAATAATATTGCAAAATAGATATATCGTATAAAAAGATATATATATATATATATATATATATTAATTATTTGTTTAAGACAATAATTAAGAAAATAATTAAGAAAGAATCTAAACATTAACAAACATAGAATGATATTGAAAATAATGTAGATTGATATAATCATACAATTATTTAATCGTACATTGTATAAAAAAACATCGATGTCATCACATAATATGATCGTAGATATTACATCAGTAGAGCCTGCACGTTATCAATATCATTTCGCGTATCAAATAGTTCTTTGAAATTACTGTAAATAGTTCGTCTAGACATCAAAGTAGACTTAAACATGCACGATAAAAAATGCTTGTATAGATGAATAGAGAACTGTATATTGAAGTTTGAGTTTTATTTCAATTCGATAAAACGTATATCGTGAAAACGCAATAAAAGATCGTCTTGTGTTGTCGCTATGCTATTTTGACAATTTCGGCGTGCCGTGTTGCTTAAAGTGGCGCCTGAAGTAGAATCCGATCGAAGCGTTCGTCAAATTCTAGCTTTCACAACACGCGTAATAAACGGGACCCTCTGCACGTGAGCCCCGAGGAGTGACGACTACCGGCTATAAACTGCCGACGGTGCTGTCAATAACTTGTTCATAATAAAGCGGCTATTGTAATTATCAAAAAATCAAAGTATCAAATTTATGCGCCTGCTATTTTTAGTGTGCATTCATCAGATCAACAAATGTGTCGTGTAAAATTCACATATTTCTGATAAAAAGAATAATTTATCTCAAATTTTTTGAACAAGTTTATCCCTTCATTATTATTATTATTGTTTGCAATACTAATAAAGATAATAATAATGTAGTTCACAGACAACATTTGCAGTAATTATTTACAGTTAGCTATTAATAATTAAATGTAATAATTATTTATTTGCTTATTCCTATTAAATATAAAATTTAAATTAAATATAAAAATCAATTCTAATAATCTAATAATGAAACTAAAAATGTAGGTTAATTTTCTTTTTCTCGAAGCTCAAAGTATTATCAAATTTTCGAGTTTTTTTTTTATTCTTATACTATCCCACAATATGAACATTTCATTTAACGCGCTGGAAGCGCGCAGAAAAGAAAAGAGAGATGCGCAAATGTATCGGCAGTTTATCGCCCGCGGTATAAAATACGTTTGGCGGATCCACCGCGATCGCATGTCGGGCTCAATGTCTCGATTGACGTTCAGTCGGTGTGTGACAGTTGCGACTGCGCCCCCGGGTACAAGGGACTTCGATGCGAGAGCAATGTCGACGACTGTGCCAACAACAGGTGCGCTAATAACGCGACCTGCGTCGACCTCGTACAAGCCTATCGATGCGACTGCACCCCAGGATTCATGGGAGAATACTGCGAGGAGAAGATACCCTTTTGCACAAAGGGGCACGACCCCTGTGAGAACGGAGGCCGATGCGTCGATCACAAGACCCACTACAGCTGCGAATGCCCGATCGGCTTCACCGGCCTTAATTGTTCCACAAACCTGGATGATTGTGTCGATCATATGTGCCAGGTACGTGCGTGATAACTTTCAGTATAATCATAATATCGATTGCCGGATTTAATTCCTTCGCGCATTGTGTCAATTTGATGTCATTTCCTAGTCTTTCCATGCAACGAAGCTATTATACGTAACGAACGTACAACGCGTTTTGTTGGAATAATATATCGATTATTGGATTGTTATATATTCTACCTTATTCGAGTTTTTAGATTAGTAAGCAAAAGTACGTAATATTTTGCATGTTGTCAGTCATAAACTCCTCTAACAATAAGATAACATGAAAAGATGAAAATCGATAAAATAAATGTTACATTAAACTAGATGTGCTTCTACTAATGATTGTCACAAAATTGAATAATTCTCATTTTTCAACCATATTTTTCTACGTTCCTTCTTCCTTTTTCTGTAAATGTCGCAGTATCAAACGCGATATTATTGTATATAAACATTTTTAGATTTTATAACAAATTTTGTAGAGCATTTTGCATAACATGTTTTATAATATTTTCTTAATTTACAATATGTAATTAAAATTTTAAGCATTTATAAATACATGACACCTATAATATTATTATTCAGTGTAAAATTCATTAAAATAAGTAATTATACTATTACTGTAGAAATTATACTATTACTGTACAAATCGCGTGCACGACTACGTTTATCTACATGAAGTCGATGATATCTGTTTCATTTACAGTATATCGTACAAATTTATTTTCTCATATCTAACAGTCGCGACAATCGCAATTAATTTCTCGTTGTCGCGCTATCAGTTCTTTTTTTTACGTTTGCAGCAGTTGTACTATAGCATTCTTCATTATTTTATAATATTTTAATTATTTGATATTCTATTTTATAATTCTTAATTTTTTTAAATTGATTATATATTTATACGGCAGATGTTTAATATATGTATACCGACATATTATTCTTTAGATTGCATTTTGAAACGTATTTCTTGGATGAATCACTTAATGTAGTATCAATTTAATTCACCACCAGTATCAATATGAAAAGTCAAACAGCGACATAACTTGACTTTCATGAGAACCGAACTTTTATTTGACTATCGACTCTTAAATAGAATTTCAGCCGAACAGATATGATCTTCCGACAGAAAGAAACTTTACAAGATCCACGACCTAGAAGCAAAGTTGGCGCATAAAATTTTACGCGAAACTTCTTCTTCGCAGTGTTATAATATTGGCCAAATTTCATCGAGTGTTTGCGTGGTTTTGGAGTAGCGGAAACTCGTATAGAGTTTTCGGCTTTGTGGTGCTAGCTCTAAAGCCACGATAGTATATCACGTTTCAAGCTTCCTAAGCTTTCATGAATGGCGCGAAATTGATCTACAGAGGCACTTCCATTAAATCTTCTATTTGCGCATATTGAGCGTATATCCTGCATATATATAGTAATTAAAATATAGTTTATTGAGTTTATATAAATACGATATACTATTTAAATATCGGTTAATTGCAAAGTCTATTACATTAACTTTTTAATTATGTTAATTTTTGTAATCATTGTGATTGTCGCGCTTATAAATCTTCATATAACATTAAGTAACATCATTCCGAATTGCTTCCATTGGTTCAACCGGGATTCAACCATTGATAAGATTAGCACGTGTAACTCATAGGGGGGATATAGTTGCACATATGTGACTTAAGCCGGAATACATGGCCTTTAGTTTGAGACTCTAGACCAGGCATGTGAAACTGGCGGTCTGCTCGATGATTTGTAACCCTCTGCTAGTAGTTAGCTGCATCCACACAGTTTGTGCGCGCGTTCCTATCTTATCCGCAAAGTTACTAGCAGACATTAATTAGATAGCTACATTAGAAACGCATCGATATTCCAGTTATTATTTCTATTTATTTTCTCTTTCGTAATGTCTTATCTCAAATATATTAATTTCAAGAAATTTTCTACATATTAATCTATTCATAATTGAATAATTGTATATCTAAATATTTTTTTTTAATTTATGATATTAATATTTTATCAAAAACCAAAGACTCTTAAAACGTAATATTGAAAATAACGAAAAAATGCTAATGTCAAATGTTCGAATAATAGAATGTTATAATAAATATGTTAAAGTTCAAGCCCTTGATTCCCTTCTCTATCTCTCTCTCTCTCTCTCTCCTCTCCTCAGCTTTTTAAACTTTAAATTTTTTATTAGCAGATTTTTATCTTTGCAAACTATTATACTATAAATTATTTATTTTCACAGAACGGTGCTACTTGCATTGACGGCATAAATAATTATGAATGTAAGTGCGCGGCGGAGTATACAGGGAGATACTGCGAGGCTGCACCTTCGACAGCCATGCTGTATCCACAGACCAGTCCGTGTGCCCACCACGACTGTCAACACGGTGCCTGCTTCCAGCCCGCTCCTGCCTCTGCCGCGGACTATCTCTGCCAGTGCCATCCCGGCTATACCGGTAAGTTTAAAAAAAAAGAAAAGTTTATCTCTCGATATTTGGATGCCATGATCATATGTCATTTTAAAATAATATATTATATATTGATTTTAAATACTTTAATTTTTTTAAAGAGATCAAGTTCACATAAAAAATCACTTTCTTATCTGTTCTGTGCATATATGTATATAATGTAGATGTTTTTTTTTATAAATAACTTCAATGAATAATATTTGATAAATATTTTCGTCAAAATTCAGAATGCAATTAAATCTTGTCATAATTTCAAGAATAAAGAATTTTCTATAATATTATCCCTTGCGTGCATTATGCGTGGCATTTCGAGACAAACTGTGTGACATGCGAGACCACCTATCATTTCAGGAAAACGATGCGAGTACCTGACGAGTCTGAGCTTCGTGGACAATAGCTCGCTGGTCGAGCTGGAACCGCTACGCACGAGGCCCGAGGCGAACGTGACCATCATATTCACGACCACGCAGGAAAACGGGGTTCTTCTCTATGACGGGCAAAGCGACGGGCACATCGCTGTCGAGCTCTTTAATGGGCGGGTCAGGGTTTCGTACGACGTGGGTAATTATCCTACCTCGACGATGTACAGTTACGAGATGGTGGCCGATGGCAAGCCTCACATGGCGGAGCTGCTGGCGATCAAGAAAAATTTTACAATGAGGGTCGATCGGGGCCCCGCCAGAAGCATCATCAACGAGGGTCCGAAGGAATATCTAAAGCTTGTCACGCCAATGTTCATCGGTGGCGTAGCGCCGGAAGTTGCTAAAGTCGCATTTACCGAGTTTCACTTAAGGAACATTACGAGCTTCCAAGGTAAATTTCTGCATTATTCTTATAAATTTAATAAATTATTATAACAAGATTTAAGAGATTATTATAATATTAATAATATTATAATAATATTAAATAAAGATGTACCGCGTTATTATGAAAATAATTTTTTAAATAAGATTAAATAAGTTATTTCGCGAATAATCAATTTTTTATCGCATAATTATCATAATTATTTTAAATTAAATTTACTTAATAATTATAAAAAAACTGTTATAATAATGTTGTAACGAAACTATTGAGTTGGGAATTTCGAAGATTTCACGGTTGATTTGTGTTCTCTACTACTGCTAGTTCCAACACCAATATCCTGCGGTTCCTCGGGGAAACGATAGTTGTCGCAAACTCGGAATATCAGCCACAAATTTGCAACTTGTGGAGATCTCATTTAATATTCGGTTATATTTTTGATGTCCCTCGGCGCAATACTGATTTACTATGTTTGCATATAGTGTAGGAAATAATATGTAGCACAGCATGCATATCCGAGAGGAATTAGATTTGAAAAGTTTTGTAACAATATGACATGTAGAATTCGTAATTACACATGGAATGCATATAGCAAAATTTATATTATAATTGTAGTTAAACTTCTTTTTTATTATTATAAAATAATGATGTTACTAATGAGAGATAATGGTATTATGAGAGAAAGTATGTCATCAACATCAATCGCGCTGATCTCATTCGTGTGACGTAGCCTTTTCTATTCCAAATATTTACTTGGATGCGTGAAGTACGTGTTCACTTATTATCATATCCAATTGCATCGTATAATATTCGGTATACGCATTCCTATACCGCCACTCTTTATATAGGATAAAGCAAAAGTTTCTCCCTCGCCAGATCCATTAAAAGTTTTCTTGCTTTATCTCAGGCTGCATCTCCGAGATGTGGATCAATCATAAGTTGGTAGACTTCAGCAACGCCGCAAAGATGCATCGCGTTACTCCCGGATGTGCTGCTAGCGAGGAAGAGGCCGACGAGGCGAGAGATATTGTTGCAGCTGAGGAAATTAACAATAGCGGTAGTAATGAGGAATCCATCCCGCAAGAGCATATACCTCGCAAACATCCTGGTATTTCTGGTATGTTAAGCATACAATTATTAATTACAACTTTAAAAACTGAGACACTTGAATTTTCAAAATTCCGAAGTTACAAATATTTCTTTTACAAAGCAACTTATAAAGTACGTAGGGGATCACGTATTTAAAAAAAGTTTTATCTATTTTATAATTGACATTATATAAGCATTGTAATTAATATATGTTTAATATTTGTTACCGTCATGATGTGTTGCTTTTATAAAGCTTTTATAAAGATTATATTGAATCGATCATATGTAACAAAAGCAATTATATTTTAAATAGAATTAAAATAAAAAATTAATAAATTGTAATTGGACATATTGTTTAAATTATCACATGGCATTTTAAGAAAATTTAAGAAAATTTCTCAATTATAGATGTCATGAAGTCGATTGGATTGGTGCCTTCGCATGCATGTATCGGACACGAGTGCAGAAAAGGATCTCAATGCATATCATCAGTATTCGACAACAGTTATTCTTGCCGGTGTCAAACTGGCTGGCAAGGACGATACTGCGAGAAAGGTATATATGATTTCTTCTAACTTTAACTTTATGAATATAAAAAAATGTAAGATATATATATATATATATATATAAAAATAATGCAAAATATAAATTATTTTTATGAGATACTTTTTCTTATTATTAATAGAGAATATAATCATATGTTTAATTCATAATATCATCCATCACTTTCGATAAAAATAATTGACACTGTTGTCGCAGCACCAACCTGTCGCAAGGAGCATACAAGGGAGTACTATAGCGAGAATGGATGTCGGAGTCGACGACCCGTGAAGCTTGCTAAATGTTGGGGAAGTTGCGGCAATTCCTGCTGTTTACCGCGGAAGACTAAGCGGCGCAAGGTACATAGGATATTCATATATCGATTGGAACTCGCGCGAACGATACGGTTTCCCGCAAAACACGCCACACAATGCATTGATTCTATTATATATATAGATATACCTATTATATATTATATATTTCAATTGTCTGGGGATCTCTCTGTATAACATCAAATCTCGGAGTAAATTAATGTTGCGTCAAATTTACATGTTATGAGATCTCTACTATTCTATTATACAATCGACAATAGACAACGTCGATGAATATTGAAGCCCATATCGCCCTTGTTCTTGTTAATTGGCGTCAAATTCCGCGAGGACGGGTCGGGCGGAGCGAAGTAGACCATCGCGTCTTCCAAAATGATCGATCGCGCAATGAACCAGCCGAAGCAACCGCGCCAATTACCACAATTATGTTCATCAAGCTGGCCGCCGTTATTAGCCAGTAACAGTAGGACGGATCGTCATTATAAACAATTACGCATTAATTTCAGGTACGATTAATTTGCACGGACGGCATGCGGTACACCAAGGACATTGACCTGGTGCGTAAATGCACATGTAGCCGCAAATGTTACTAGCCAGTCGACGCATCGCGGCCCAAGTCTCGTCGACGCGCGTCGAGACGTGAAACGAGACCGAGAAGAAACCCCCGGATCCATAGCAGCACCCCCGTTTCTCGCGCTTCCATGCGGAAGATGACGAAAGGAGCGGCAGCGGGACGGCGAGGACCGAGACCACATTACCACGTGTCCTCGACATCCCTATGCGACATCCCTTCGCAAGACGCAAGGGAGTGCGTGACGAAGTGCAGGCCAAAATAAGATGGACACACACATAGCCGGCTCAGTGTGATATGTATTATTAAAGAAAAAAAAAGAATGAGAAAAGAGAAAAAATGAGAGAGAAAGAAAGAGTAAGAAAGCAGAAGCAAGATTATATTGTACGTATATATAGCTACGGACTCTATCGATATCGAAGCAGTTAAACGTATACTAGGTATTATTCGTATATAATGACCCGATATAGGTAATATAAAATGAAGGGTGGACGAAGAGCGTGAGACGCGAGCGCGCGCGCGGACCAACGCGTGTCCGCAACATTTGCGATCGCGGACCGCGCACGCGGGCGCTTGCGTGTTCGTAACATCGTACGTACGAGTGCGTGCGATTACGTCGTTGATTTAGCGCGGAATGGACCTAACTGGTAATAGGGGATTCGCGGTTACATGTAAACAGGCTTCCGTAATCTTCTTATAGGATCTATATACGCACCGCATTTTGTTTAATACATTTCCCGATGGCGATTATAATTTCCTTGTTAGTAATATATTAATCGGCATATTTTTGTTCAAAAGTTATTAAAAAGTAGATTAACTTTCTGTTATTAAATTTATTATCTTTCATTGCAATGGGAATTTGCGAAATATCTGAAAAAAAAGCAATTAATATTTGATGCGTTTATTTGAAATTCGTGAAAGACACACATCAATCTGTTGAGTAATCACCGCTCTCTCTATTTTAATTAAATTATAGTTATATATTTTTTTTTTAACAAACTTGAATTTTTATATGAAAATATTACAATAATGAAAATTATTGACAATCGTAATTTCTTGGACAAGTTTTCTAAGTGTTCGCGAAGTCTAGATCCCACGTTAGGTCTATCTTCCTTTCAGCGAATTTTTACTAAACGCGAATCTTCGATCGTATAGCTATTTCTACCCACTGAGCAATGGTCTTTGAATTTTTGCAAAATACGATCTACAAATACGTGAAAAATAGCGAAAGAGAGAGAGAGAGAGAGAGAGAGAGAAATGTTTGTGAGAATGATGCGAATGATTGCAATACGCTGTTGCTACAAATTGTTTGATTTGACGATCGAAACATTTCGCTTGTACAATATACATGCGAATATAACATCGTCATAATAGCCAATAAATCTAAACGAAGCAAAGGCAAATAATGGCGCAAACGGCAGTGTGTTTCTTGCCTTTTTCACGAGTTTAGTTACAGTGCTGCTAATTTAGCGTTCCAGCTATCACTTTAACTGCACAATTCTTAGCTAGCTAATTAGGTCATTTGTAAATCACTCAATAATCAAAAAACAAACAGTTATGCCAATTAAAAGTCATGTAGAATCACAAGTATGTGAATATAAATCACTGGATAAGTGTCTAATTAAATGTAAAATATATTTTAAGCGTGATAAAAAATATTGAATTGAACTCACGCCGTCAACATCTTATCTCACCTCACCGACAGCAGCAGTGGGAATGTAGCTTAATTTGTTGAAAAAGTCAAGAAAACGTGCCGCGAAAAAATCGCCGGAACGGACTGCATCGCGAATTTCGAAGGGCGCGCTTCGAATTTTTCACTTTACGGCCTAATATTACGTTTCGAGGTGCGAGATGCAGTCTGTAAGCTGCATGGAGCAACGGAAGACTCGCATGCGAGCGATTTTCGGATCGATGATTTTGAGCGATGATAGGAAAACGAATTATGGAGAATTTATGGAGCAACCTGCGTATAAACATTTGATCACGATTACGAGACGGATGTAACTAATATAGATTGGTAAATCATCGTTAATTTGAAACGGCGTTTGCCGATACAAAACCACGTAATTATTTTTCTATAAGCGGATTATTTATATCTAAGCTAATTTGCTATTAGTTTAATCAAGAAGCGTAATTCGTTCGTAAGCCTCTATTAATGTATGTCGTATATCACGTACCTATGCTATATCTATTTATACGTATCTATATTCTTCTCCCAATCCCCCAGCCTCTCCTTCCCCGGAAAACTGCATCGCATCTTCCACTGCCAGTATTTATACGTATTTATTCCATTTCTTTCTTTTATTTGATAACATTTATGTATTAAACTATTTTTTAAACGTACACTTATAGGATGAACGAATATCTCTCGACGTATTTCGCTATCATCTTTCACGATTTCGACGCGATTTTATCATCTAGCGTGCGCCTCGCGAGAAAGTACCAATCGTAGAATTTATATATAGACATAGCTTTCGACCGTTAAACGGTTACACGATTGTAGTATATCTCTTTTCGGATTTCAATGCCATTATACGACTGCCACGCTTGACAACTGCCAATGCCACGTATTTATCTGGCCATATATGAGAAAATGCGACGAAACAGATATCTGTCGACTTAAAGACACACAGGAGACTTCACATATTTTTTTACATTTTTTTACTTAGTTTCACGCTAAAAGGTATATTTATTTTGTAAAATAAAAGTAGAGATGTGTGAATAATAAAAGAATAACAAGTTGTATAATCGTGGATGATGGCATCCATCTGTTGATGGATAATATCGAATATCATTTATCTTCACGTTTTCTTTTTTATATAATGGAAAGGTAGATGTATCATGATCGTACAATATAATATAAAATATAATTTGGTAGTGTTAGTGATCGCATAAGTTCTCTGTGCCGTTGTGTTTACGAATCATTTGGTTATCAAATATTTAGTTAATACTAATCCGGATAAATTTCTGTGAAACACATTTGAAGCTGGCGCCTGTCGGAGAAGAACAGATTTTTGTAAAATGATTCTGTACATTTGGTCCAACGAAATACAAATAAATATATGCAAGCAAACGTACGTTCGTCGTATCAGTAATCCATCGCAACATATAATTTAATCTCTTATACATTTCATATTTAACATTAAAGAAGAGAATATTCTAGAAGTGCGACTAATGAATATTATTACGGATTGTAAATTATGCGAATATATTTTACTCGAAATATATAAAGTGTGTAAATACATACATTCTTTCGTTTATACAAAGAAACCGCGTTATTTATATCAGTTGGATATTAATATCAGATTCAACGTTTAAGCGCGAAATCGTTATTATGATTTTACATTACATTACGGCAAATCCATCGTGACATGTTTATGTTATATAAAATTGTAATGCAGATAAATATGATATATTTATCACAAACTCTCTGCGCACAGTTATGTGTGTACATACACATATATTAGACAATAATAAGAGGGGAAATGCTTGTAATATCGTGTAATATATTTTCATGCCGTGCGCCCCGGAATTCCTGTGTATAACTGTGTATTTGTATATTTATTTGACGAAAATATTTCATGTATATTTCGTGATCGATTGACTGGCGCATGCGACTGACGCATACCATTTGACTTTGATTCTCTTCGTAGGATCTAGCGAACACTTTTACCTTCGAGTTATCAAATCATACGCTTCGAAGGACACACACATACCTCGGCTTTGCCAGACATTAACAATGGGAACGAAATCTTTCACTTTACGCAAGAAAGTCTTTCGAGAAAGCACCTCTTTATATCGAAATCGGGTTGTTCACTTCCGTGAATTTTGCGCATCGATTCACTCTATGAAGAATATATAAGTATCAAGACACTTTGTCTTTTGATACTTTGTACCTAACATTCAATGCAAGAATTGAGAAAACTATTTTGTCGCACGTAAATCTGTTACGAGAATTTAATTAATCGTATGCGCATGAATAATCAAAGAGAAACAAATCAGAGATAAGAACAATCTGATCAAGCGGAAAAGATTTGCTGCTAAACTATTTCGGGGAGTAGATAAATTTCCGATTGACATTTAATACCCATAATTTATTGCTAGGAAATTATTTATTCCTGAGAGTCAGTAAAATTATTGTGTAAAAAACATTAAATCAATATCATAAATTAAATAATGTTATATTATTTGAACAATATGCACATTTGGCTAAATGCGACTGTCTGTTTTTATATTTTATGTCAACATTCAGCAAAAAAATATGCATAAACACATAAAATATTATCATATCTCTCAAAACAGCCGCATTTATTAATATTAGATGCATAGTGATAATTCAGATTATGTACGTAATCTTATACAATCTTGCGATGGATATACCTTATTATAGAATAAATTTTATTTTGTAAATTTTATAAATCCAATTATAGTAGAATTTTTACTCAGTTTGAACGTCTTTATTTGGAGGACTTATGCGAACAAAGATTGATATAATTAACATTCCATATGAAGAATTTAGAGATATTAATTAGAACGCGCGTTTCACCTAAATCTTAAACAACGAATAAATTTAGTTCATGTAATTTCTTATTGTATTGATATTTTTTGGAGAATTTCCGGGAACAATTAATAAAGCAGATTTTGCAAAACAGTACAATACCGAAATTATTGAATTTATTTTATGTATTTTAATTTTATTTATTAGAAGTATATAAAAATAATTAAACGATGTATCAATAATTTTTAATTTATTAGAGTAATAAAAATGTTTTTATAAAGACTATATCCTTTCTTTATTTTTGTGTATCTCAATCTGGCCATATCAGTTCTGTGCTAATTTTCAAAATTGTAAGCAAAGTTTTCAATATATTGCAATATTAAATTTCAAAACCATCACATTATAATGCAATGACACAGTGAAAGTCTGACACGTCCTTTCTAATGAAATTTTTGACGACATTTTTGAATGTATTCAATAATATATCTCGAGACATGAATTAATGAGAATAAATGAACAGTGCGAAAAAATGTATGCGTGAATACGATATGAGTGTAAAAGAAAAATGTTTTCAATGAGTATGTCAAGGTATAAGGGAACGCGTGCAAGGCAATGAGTATAAATGTGGTTATCGTGCAAGCACGTTTTACTAAATGACGATGGAATACTGCATGCCTAGACTCTAACTCTATATTATAGATATATCAAATTAGTTAATTAGCGTAAAAAAAGCAAAATGTCTATGTTTATATAATGTAATAAAATTCTCGAAATGTGAACGCTATTAAATAAACGTATGTAAAGTTTAACAAACATTTTCATTATTTATAATGCCCCATAATATATATATATATATATATATATATATATATATATAAACACGAAACGCATTTGTCATAGTTAATAATGTGATAAACACATAATTAAGAATCAACTAATTACTATCATTTACTAATTAAATATAAAATTAATATTTTTATTTCTTATATTACTTCCAATGTTGAAGTAAGTCTTATTGACACAGATTGAATTAAAAATGTTCAATATACATATAGAAAAAATGTTTTTTCGTTGAATATAAAAATATACAGATTAATTCTTTATATGATTTTTTTTTAAATTATGTCTTTGTATTCATTATGAGTTATTTGCATTACAAATAAATTCCATATAGTTACTATATATTGCACATATTACATAATCACGTGAATAAAAAAACATGAAAAAGACGCAACTGGTCCGTCTTTTTACGATCATTTGTCATCAACAATTGATCAACATGAATGAATGCATTACAAAAAATTGGAATAAAACTGGAGTGCATTATGATAAAAAATTATTGTAATTATATACTTGTATATCATTATTGTACCTGTATATCATTATATACACTTGTTAATCATTATTATAATTATATAATAATTTACATAATTTATAATCACACATATAATTATAATAAACATTAATCTATTTTCTAAATAAATTCTTGAAATAAATTAGATTTAATTTATATTATAAAATGTTAATATGTATTATAATACGTATTTAATATGTATTATAAAATGTTTTTTGTTTCGTTGTTCTTTTTTTAAACAGAAATTTTTATCCTAATTTGTTATAATCTATTCAATTCATTTTAAGATAACGGAACTACCTACAATCTACAGTCTACAATCTACATCTAAAATTTTTACGAAATCGTTACCTCGCAATAAAATAATAGTTCACTCACCAATCGAAGCGTAGTTAATCTGCAGAGTTGACTGCATCAAAACTACGTTGATCTGTAACATCCAAAAGAATTTAAATTATAACAATGTAAAATAATCAATATTTCTAAAAATAATTATACCTGTTGACTTTTATATTCAACATATACAACATATATAATTAAATACCTTTAAAAATTTTAGAAAACTATATTTTTTATATTAATTGATAGAAACTTTTGTATAAACTTATGTATCAAAAGTTTTTTCTAATTCTTTCTTCTATTTAAACTATTCAAGTATAAAAATAAAATTACAATATATGTGATTTATAACAAGTATTATGCAAATAATAAATATTTACCCCAAGGTTGCTCTGCTTGCGCCTGATGCCTTCTAGGCCTGCTCCTCCTCTCAGATTGATCAAGATGTCCATTGTTTTTTGATTAACACGCGTGATACTTTAAACGACACTCCCGCACTAAAACGTCCGACTTTAAATGACATTCCCGCACCAAAACGCGCGATACTTTGGACGACACTCTCGCACGAAAACGCGCGACATTTTGGACGACACTCCCGTGCTAAATGCATCACGATTTGCATAGCATTCGAATGTCTTACAATTAGATGCTTACGGCAGAATCAATTTATTTAATATGAACAATTTTATATCGTTCATTATGCCGTATCAGATATACCGTATATATGCTTAATTATTTTTTTAATATTTAATAGTATTTTTCTCTTTTCTGCTCTTTAATAAATATTAATTATTATAATTAATATTGATATAAAACAATTAATATTAAGTATAAAAAAACTTTACTATGCGTCAGCCGTCACGAGAACTCGATATAAGCAACCATCTATCATTAATCTGCGGGTTACAATTAATGCGGTTTATAATGCTTATTTCATCAAACTACGCGGTAACCAATTCAATTTTAAAAGTAAAAAATAATAAAATAAGACATATATAATTCGTATTAAAAATTTTAAGATATCGTTATTTTATTAAAATCTTTTATAACTTTCTTATTACCATTCTTTTTGTTTCTCTTTAGAAAACCACATCACGATAAAATATTTGCAAAATATATTTTCATATTATTTTAATACAATTTTGTTTAACTAGTGCAATATTAACGATCAATATGAATGAATAGATTACAAATTATTAGTATAAAATTACATTAAAGTATATTATAACATAATAAGTAATTATAATAATATAATTATTTAAAAAAAAACAATTTATAAACACACATTTATGACATTATAATCACAATTAATCATTAGTGAGTTCTTTATGAAATAAATTAAGTTAAATTTATTACTATTATAAAATTCTTTGACATTTTTTGAAATTAAAATTCGCTTTAATATTGTAATTTGTAATCCATCCCCATTTTGAGGTAACGGAAAAACTATCTACAATCTACAGTCTACAATCTACACAATCTATATCTACATTTTCACACTCTAAATCTACGAAACCATTACCTCGTAATAATAATTTATTGCTCACCAATCGATGCACAACATTTGACTACAAGCTACACATTGAGCTGTAACATATAAATAAAATAAAAATTATAGTAACGCCCAAGAGTAACGCTAATCTTTCAAACGTTTATAATTGTATTATATTTTATTTTTATACATACAATAATAATAAATATATAATTATAATAAATTAATTAAATAATTTTATAAATTTTGATTTGACGACTAATAAATTTTGATTTTGATTATTTTAATTATTTTGATTAATTTGATTAATATTGATTTATTGCAATTAAATAAATCAATAAATATTCACTTAAGGTTGCGTTGTCGGCGCTCGATTTTTTTTCTCAACTCTATCTCTCATCAATTTGTCGATGTTGTCAGCATAACGTTAATCTGTAACATATAAATTAAATCTAAATTATAGCAGCGCTTAAATAATGAATCTTTCAAAAAATTATATTATTGTACGCATTGAATTTTATATTCAATAATGAGTATACTAATAAAATAGATACATAATTAATTTGTTATAAATTTTAGAAAAAAATTTTTTTAGTTGAACAAACTTTATATAATTTTTATATAAGTGTATTTTGTTCAAAATCTCTTTTGTTTGAATCACTTAAATACACGAACTGAATCATGTTAAAATTTTTCTTTTATTGAATTTGTATAAATAATAATAAAAAAATTAATTATTTACCTCATGTTAAACCTTCGATTGATGCCACTTCATTCGGACTATCTCCTCCTTTCTTATTTCACTGTTGCTATATTTTCTTCGTGGCACACTCTCTAGTGAAAATAATTCATTATAATTAATAAGCGCGCACTCGCAAAACAATTATGATTATATACGCGCCCATACTATTGTAATACTTAAATACAATTAATAAGCGCACGACATTTAGCACATTTCCGACTTTAATGGTTATAGCAATACGCGTGCGCTTGTTTATGACGGAATAATAACGCGGGAAAATGCGCAAAACGTGACACTCAGCGGTCTCTTGCGGCATTGTTAGACACTATAATCTTACATGCACGTGTAGGCTATGCATGCAAACACGTATTTATAACTATTAAAAGATGATTTCAATATAAATGATTATTATGATATATATCGTGATATATATATATATATATCACGAGACAATGATTTGTATTAATTCTTAATTCACACACACACACACACATATTGCGTCGATATTTATTCCAGTAAATAAAACGCACGAAATATTTTCTTCGCGCCAAAGAGACTTCGCGAGGCCTTTAATCACTTAATGGAATAAATAATTACGCAGCAATTGATACTTACTAATTATTTGTAACCATGATTATGATATTGTTCACGATCGCGTCTTGAGAACTAATGCGAAGCAGCGAGTTGTTAAAATATTTCACAATCGATATAACTTCGCACATTAATACGATGCCGGTCATTTTAAATTTAGTTAAGAACGTAATGAACAATTTGAAAATAAATAAACAATATATATAATATTATATACACAATACATTTCGAACGCGTAAATTCTACGTGTATTAATATTAATAATTGTTTGATATATATATTACGTTTTTAATGATTTATATTTTTATTTTCTATCGATATTTTCGCATCGATACGCGCGAAATATCTCAAACAAAATTGCCTCGATACATTTACGAATCATTTAATTGTTCAAGTTAAATAATTGTGCGAACTAATACTCACTAATCACTTGCCAGAGAGAATAATTTTGTAATATTTTTATTAGTTGCTTTTCAAAAATTAATATTTTTATATAGGCGCAATCATATTATTTGTACTTTATTATAGACTTTGTTAATAATTACTATAGTCTTTAGCCATCTATATGAAAAGTCATGAAACTGCATAATATTGAATTTAATAAAGTTACATCAATATGTTATGTCACCACATTTTCCAAGTTCGGTTATATCGTGTACTATATCGTAGAAAGAAGAGTTTGTTGCAGAACTTTTACTCATTGTCAGTAATATAAGAATAAATCAAGTCTTAATATCTTTGAACTAATGTACACACACAAATATATACCCTCCAAAATATTCTTATTAAATATTTCTTTAATAATACTAACAGTATTATAGCAAATTGGCAATTTTATCAACGGTACATAATTTTATCTATATTAAGTACTGTCATCTTAAAATTAATAAAACGTAATTTACAAACAAAATATTAATTAATTATGTAACATAAAATATTATTATAAATGTTAGCTTTTTTAAATATCTTTATGTATTGACAATTCAAAACGCATTATCAAAAATTAATAATTAAAGAAGCGCTAGAAATAATTACACGTCACATATTTATAATGAATTTTATTAAAAGATTATATTGAAAAATATTAGATGGGAGTTATAAATATATATATATATATATATATATATATATATATATATATATATGTATACGTAACTGAAAACAAATGTTGCTCTCTAACATATATTTGATCTTTAAATGATCATCAAATTGTTTGTAAATAGAAATATTTTATTTTCTAATTAAAAAACATTTTATCTAAATTGCAAAAGATTTGTATAAAATCGAGTATTATAAAACAATATTTTTATGACTACATTAGATTCTATCTTTTTCTCTGCGTTTAATGTACCACACATATATATACGTTACGTATACATGTACACACATGTATACGTAACTGAAAAAAAGATGTTGCTCTCTAACGTTTGATCTTTAAATGATCATCAAATCATCTGTACATAGAAATATTTTATTTTTTAATTAAAAAACATTTTATCTAAATTGCAAAAGATTTGCATAAAATCGAGTATTATAAAACAATATTTTTATGACTACATTAGATACTATCTTTTTCTCTGCGTTTGTATGTATCACACATAAATACATATAGATGCAATTACACAATGTTTATGGAACCAATTTGCTATTATGTAAGATAATATAATTATATATTACGGAGATAATTACGCGAAACATAATTAAATAACATATATTTTATTAATTATTTATCACTTTATTTACAAATTTAGATTTATCACAATTTATGTTCTTAACCATTAGCTGATTGAAGCTTTGTTCACCTCTTTGCACGTTTAATTGTCTATACAAATTGAAGCAAAAAGAATACAAAAACTAACAATAAAATATTATTATTAAATAATATAACAATTTTTCTAATAAAACAAAACAATCCTTTTTTTATTTTTTATTTTTACTATAAAAACTCCATCAAATAATTAACATGTGATAATATGTCAAATTTTTTTAGCTCTGTGATATTAACTATGATCATTAAACAATTCTAGTTTATATAGTATGGCAAATAAACAATAGACTATAATAAGAGAGAAAATATTTGAGAAGAATATTAAAGAAGATTAAATTTAAACATCTAGATATATACAATAATTAATATTATTATATAAAAATAATGTAATTTAATAAAAAGAACAAATAAATTTACATGCTATACGCTTATTTTTTACTTACATACTAAAACTATGTATAAAATTTACATTTTTACAATAATTTATGCAATAAATTATATTTAAAATTTTTATATTTATATATATTTAAATTAATGTTGAAATTTCGAAAAAGATAAAAATACGTACAATACTTATATTCTATAATTTAACAATATTTTTATTATTATTTGTATTATTTTGTATCAATTGCAATCACACACATGATTGTATTGAAAAATTATTAGTAAAAGTTATCGTTTAAGTTGTTTGCTTATGTTGCACATTCAATGCTTATATACAATCTATGACCTTATATCTTTAACCTACACATTTTACATTTATAACAAGTATAAATACGATCTATATCATCAGTAGCTGCAAATATTTCCTCAAACTGTGTTTGATACTGTGCAATAAAGTGAAAGAATATTAGCAAAATGAAAGTTATTTGTATTCTTTGCATCTGTGTTTTAGGATTTATTGTAAGAATTTTATTGTTACAAATATAAACAATCATATATTAATAATAAAATTAATGTTAATTATAATTATATATAAATATTGATATGTTAAATAATTGTATTCAAGAGAAATACAGATAAAAAAATGTATTTTTAATTTTAATGAAAAGTATATAATATCACATAAGAAGTATGAAAAAAATATTATATAATATTAAATTGTAGCATATGTTTAACATAATTGTAGTGCATACTTATATTACAATATATTAAATATATGTATATATATATATATATATATATATATATATATATATATATATATATATTAAATATATTAAAAAATGAATATATTATATAATATATTAAAAAATAAATATTTCAAATAATATATAAAATAAAATTATATTTTTCGCAGGTCGTCTTAGCACAATCTGAATTAAAGCAACAATTAAAAAATGCAGTAACATCTAATATCCGGGACGAGATTCTGACTTGTTTGACGGAAAATAATCTAACAGTTGGTAAGGTATAATTATATATAATATTAGAAAATTCGTTTATTGCTCATTATTTAAGATATTTTGACTAATTTTAAAATAAATTCTGTTTTGCCAAATTTGATAAAGTATATAATGTTTGTTTCTACAATTTTTGGTATTTTATTCAAGCTAATTTTTTACATCTATACCAAGCTAGTAAACGTTTATATATGCATTTGTTCAATCTATATAAAATGCATAGTTAAAAATATGAAATACGCACTTTTCTTTTAAATCCTGCATCTTATTTTACAGATAATTTTTATAATGAGATACAAATAATGATTGGCGTGCATGCAAGATCCGAAAATGAAGAAAAGACAAGAAATCATGGTTGTGCCATCGCATGTGTATTAAAAAAAAGTGATGTGGTAAATTTTTATATGTATATTAAATAATTTAATTATATACAGACTATACAATGCACGATTTAATTATATAATAAAATTATAAATTATTTAAAAAAGAAAATACATAATAAAATACACATACAGTGCACACACACACACAGATACACACACGTGCACATATATAATTACCAAAAATTAGAAAAAACTATTAAAAATTGTATAACCTACTGTTTTCTTACTTAACATTTTATTTATAATATTAGATGGAAAATTCAAATATTGATGAAAGGAAACTCCATGTAAAAATAAATCAACTAATATCTGACTCTTCTCCTCACCAAGTAAGAATACACAAAATTGCACGCGATTGCATAAAAGAAGGTAAATTATTATTATATCGCTACTATAAATATTAAAAAGTTTATCATATATTTATCGTAAAATTATAGAAAATTGAATCTATTATTATAGAAAAATATATATATATATATATATATATAAAGGTCTCGGGATCGATTCCCGATTCAGCGACTTTCGGATCTATATTTTTCTCTTGCATTTACTTATTTCCGTAGGGGGGTGAAAGGGTTATTGAAATTAAATCTCAAATATGAGATTATTTCATATTTTAAATCTTGGCCGTGACCAAGTAAAATATTTGGTGCCTTGTGCACAGACACTTAATCCTAACGAAAAATTTAGTTTCGTTAGGATAACGCACTGTCATCCGCGAGTTGGCTCTTACTGCCTGTCTTATATCTTTAAATTTATAAAAATCATAAGATTCTATGTACGTTATTATAGATTATATACATATACATTTTTGCACTAATTTTTATATTTAACTTATTTGTAGTTTTAAATAGTTTTAAATAGTTTTATAAATAATTAAAACAGATCATATAATTTGTGTTAAAATTATACAAAGAACTAATAAAACTAATATAAAAATATATTATACTTTTCAACACTTTAATTATATTTGTTTATATTGCAGTAAAAAATATTACGGAAGAATGTGAAAAATGCTTTTCGCTATTTACTTGTGTTATAAAAACTGCACATAAATTGGAGAAACATGAAGAACATGTAAGAACAGCAACAGAAGGAAATGAAGAAGCAGAGCATGAAGAACATGAAAAAGCAGAAACAGAGGAAAATACAGAAACAGTATAAACTGTCTGAATATAATTAATGAAACATTATCTATATTACTTTATCAATGTAAACTTGTAACAAATCAATTTAAATAAAAAAATATGTTTTCTTCTTATGTTACATTCTTGCTATTCTGATGTAATCAAGCAAATATAAATAAACAAATACAGCAAATATAAATAAACAGTATTAATTTTTCTAATATTTTTAACACTATTTCATAATTCATGGATAAAATATAAATATTTAACAAATCTGTTTTTATACGTTGTCGCTCAAAATTAACGACAATTACTTAATAGATAAAATTTTAACTTTTAAAGACTCGAAATCGTGCATTTCTGTAAAAGATTTAATCATAGAAAATTATATAGTTTTTAAAATAATCAGAAAGATTCAACACTAATATTTTAAGTTAATATAGTATTTTAATGAAGCTCAATTGTATTGTTCGATACATATTGCATAAAAACTAAGAAACGTTAACATAAAAGTAATTCGCATATTTTGGAACTGGACGATTGCTGTGTATTAAAATGCTTCTATATATATAATGACTGAATTTATTAATAACAAGAAAAAATAGTTAATTAGCGTAAAAAAAGCAAAATGTCTATGTTTATATAATGTAATAAAATTCTCAAATGTGAACGCTATTAAATAAACGTATGTAAAGTTTAACAAACATTTTCATTATTTATAATGCCCCATAAAATATATATATATATATATATATATATATATATATATATAAAACACAAAACGCATTTGTCATAGTTAATAATGTGATAAACACATAATTAAGAATCAACTAATTACTATCATTTACTAATTAAATATAAAATTAATATTTTTATTTCTTATATTACTTCCAATGTTGAAGTAAGTCTTATTGACACAGATTGAATTAAAAATGTTCAATATACATATAGAAAAAATGTTTTTTCGTTGAATATAAAAATATACAGATTAATTCTTTATATGATTTTTTTTTAAATTATGTCTTTGTATTCATTATGAGTTATTTGCATTACAAATAAATTCCATATAGTTACTATATATTACACATATTACATAATCACGTGAATAAAAAAACATGAAAAAGATGCAACTGATCCGTCTTTTTACGATCATTTGTCATCAACAATTGATCAACATGAATGAATGCATTACAAAAAATTGGAATAAAACTGGAGTGCATTATGATAAAAAATTATTGTAATTATATACTTGTATATCATTATTGTACCTGTATATTATTATATACACTTGTTAATCATTATTATAATTATATAATAATTTACATAATTTATAATCACACATATAATTATAATAAACATTAATCTATTTTCTAAATAAATTCTTGAAATAAATTAGATTTAATTTATATTATAAAATGTTAATATGTATTATAATACGTATTTAATATGTATTATAAAATGTTTTTTGTTTCGTTGTTCTTTTTTTAAACAGAAATTTTTATCCTAATTTGTTATAATCTATTCAATTCATTTTAAGATAACGGAACTACCTACAATCTACAACAATCTACATCTAAAATTTTTACGAAATCGTTACCTCGCAATAAAATAATAGTTCACTCACCAATCGAAGCGTAGTTAATCTGTAGAGTTGACTGCATCAAAACTACGTTGATCTGTAACATCCAAAAGAATTTAAATTATAACAATGTAAAATAATCAATATTTCTAAAAATAATTATACCTGTTGACTTTTATATTCAACATATACAACATATATAATTAAATACCTTTAAAAATTTTAGAAAACTATATTTTTTATATTAATTGATAGAAACTTTTGTATAAACTTATGTATCAAAAGTTTTTTCTAATTCTTTCTTCTATTTAAACTATTCAAGTATAAAAATAAAATTACAATATATGTGATTTATAACAAGTATTATGCAAATAATAAATATTTACCCCAAGGTTGCTCTGCTTGCGCCTGATGCCTTCTAGGCCTGCTCCTCCTCTCAGATTGATCAAGATGTCCATTGTTTTTTGATTAACACGCGTGATACTTTAAACGACACTCCCGCACTAAAACGTCCGACTTTAAATGACATTCCCGCACCAAAACGCGCGATACTTTGGACGACACTCTCGCACGAAAACGCGCGACATTTTGGACGACACTCCCGTGCTAAATGCATCACGATTTGCATAGCATTCGAATGTCTTACAATTAGATGCTTACGGCAGAATCAATTTATTTAATATGAACAATTTTATATCGTTCATTATGCCGTATCAGATATACCGTATATATGCTTAATTATTTTTTTAATATTTAATAGTATTTTTCTCTTTTCTGCTCTTTAATAAATATTAATTATTATAATTAATATTGATATAAAACAATTAATATTAAGTATAAAAAAACTTTACTATGCGTCAGCCGTCACGAGAACTCGATATAAGCAACCATCTATCATTAATCTGCGGGTTACAATTAATGCGGTTTATAATGCTTATTTCATCAAACTACGCGGTAACCAATTCAATTTTAAAAGTAAAAAATAATAAAATAAGACATATATAATTCGTATTAAAAATTTTAAGATATCGTTATTTTATTAAAATCTTTTATAACTTTCTTATTACCATTCTTTTTGTTTCTCTTTAGAAAACCACATCACGATAAAATATTTGCAAAATATATTTTCATATTATTTTAATACAATTTTGTTTAACTAGTGCAATATTAACGATCAATATGAATGAATAGATTACAAATTATTAGTATAAAATTACATTAAAGTATATTATAACATAATAAGTAATTATAATAATATAATTATTTAAAAAAAAACAATTTATAAACACACATTTATGACATTATAATCACAATTAATCATTAGTGAGTTCTTTATGAAATAAATTAAGTTAAATTTATTACTATTATAAAATTCTTTGACATTTTTTGAAATTAAAATTCGCTTTAATATTGTAATTTGTAATCCATCCCCATTTTGAGGTAACGGAAAAACTATCTACAATCTACAGTCTACAATCTACACAATCTATATCTACATTTTCACACTCTAAATCTACGAAACCATTACCTCGTAATAATAATTTATTGCTCACCAATCGATGCACAACATTTGACTACAAGCTACACATTGAGCTGTAACATATAAATAAAATAAAAATTATAGTAACGCCCAAGAGTAACGCTAATCTTTCAAACGTTTATAATTGTATTATATTTTATTTTTATACATACAATAATAATAAATATATAATTATAATAAATTAATTAAATAATTTTATAAATTTTGATTTGACGACTAATAAATTTTGATTTTGATTATTTTAATTATTTTGATTAATTTGATTAATATTGATTTATTGCAATTAAATAAATCAATAAATATTCACTTAAGGTTGCGTTGTCGGCGCTCGATTTTTTTTTCTCAACTCTATCTCTCATCAATTTGTCGATGTTGTCAGCATAACGTTAATCTGTAACATATAAATTAAATCTAAATTATAGCAGCGCTTAAATAATGAATCTTTCAAAAAATTATATTATTGTACGCATTGAATTTTATATTCAATAATGAGTATACTAATAAAATAGATACATAATTAATTTGTTATAAATTTTAGAAAAAAATTTTTTTAGTTGAACAAACTTTATATAATTTTTATATAAGTGTATTTTGTTCAAAATCTCTTTTGTTTGAATCACTTAAATACACGAACTGAATCATGTTAAAATTTTTCTTTTATTGAATTTGTATAAATAATAATAAAAAAATTAATTATTTACCTCATGTTAAACCTTCGATTGATGCCACTTCATTCGGACTATCTCCTCCTTTCTTATTTCACTGTTGCTATATTTTCTTCGTGGCACACTCTCTAGTGAAAATAATTCATTATAATTAATAAGCGCGCACTCGCAAAACAATTATGATTATATACGCGCCCATACTATTGTAATACTTAAATACAATTAATAAGCGCACGACATTTAGCACATTTCCGACTTTAATGGTTATAGCAATACGCGTGCGCTTGTTTATGACGGAATAATAACGCGGGAAAATGCGCAAAACGTGACACTCAGCGGTCTCTTGCGGCATTGTTAGACACTATAATCTTACATGCACGTGTAGGCTATGCATGCAAACACGTATTTATAACTATTAAAAGATGATTTCAATATAAATTATGATTATATATGATATATATCGTGATATATATATATATATATCACGAGACAATGATTTGTATTAATTCTTAATTCACACACACACACACATATTGCGTCGATATTTATTCCAGTAAATAAAACGCACGAAATATTTTCTTCGCGCCAAAGAGACTTCGCGAGGCCTTTAATCACTTAATGGAATAAATAATTACGCAGCAATTGATACTTACTAATTATTTGTAACCATGATTATGATATTGTTCACGATCGCGTCTTGAGAACTAATGCGAAGCAGCGAGTTGTTAAAATATTTCACAATCGATATAACTTCGCACATTAATACGATGCCGGTCATTTTAAATTTAGTTAAGAACGTAATGAACAATTTGAAAATAAATAAACAATATATATAATATTATATACACAATACATTTCGAACGCGTAAATTCTACGTGTATTAATATTAATAATTGTTTGATATATATATTACGTTTTTAATGATTTATATTTTTATTTTCTATCGATATTTTCGCATCGATACGCGCGAAATATCTCAAACAAAATTGCCTCGATACATTTACGAATCATTTAATTGTTCAAGTTAAATAATTGTGCGAACTAATACTCACTAATCACTTGCCAGAGAGAATAATTTTGTAATATTTTTATTAGTTGCTTTTCAAAAATTAATATTTTTATATAGGCGCAATCATATTATTTGTACTTTATTATAGACTTTGTTAATAATTACTATAGTCTTTAGCCATCTATATGAAAAGTCATGAAACTGCATAATATTGAATTTAATAAAGTTACATCAATATGTTATGTCACCACATTTTCCAAGTTCGGTTATATCGTGTACTATATCGTAGAAAGAAGAGTTTGTTGCAGAACTTTTACTCATTGTCAGTAATATAAGAATAAATCAAGTCTTAATATCTTTGAACTAATGTACACACACAAATATATACCCTCCAAAATATTCTTATTAAATATTTCTTTAATAATACTAACAGTATTATAGCAAATTGGCAATTTTATCAACGGTACATAATTTTATCTATATTAGGTACTGTCATCTTAAAATTAATAAAACGTAATTTACAAACAAAATATTAATTAATTATGTAACATAAAATATTATTATAAATGTTAGCTTTTTTAAATATCTTTATGTATTGACAATTCAAAACGCATTATCAAAAATTAATAATTAAAGAAGCGCTAGAAATAATTACACGTCACATATTTATAATGAATTTTATTAAAAGATTATATTGAAAAATATTAGATGGGAGTTATAAATATATATATATATATATATATATATATACGTAACTGAAAACAAATGTTGCTCTCTAACATATATTTGATCTTTAAATGATCATCAAATTGTTTGTAAATAGAAATATTTTATTTTCTAATTAAAAAACATTTTATCTAAATTGCAAAAGATTTGTATAAAATCGAGTATTATAAAACAATATTTTTATGACTACATTAGATTCTATCTTTTTCTCTGCGTTTAATGTACCACACATATATATACGTTACGTATACATGTACACACATGTATACGTAACTGAAAAAAAGATGTTGCTCTCTAACGTTTGATCTTTAAATGATCATCAAATCATCTGTAATAGAAATATTTTATTTTTTAATTAAAAAACATTTTATCTAAATTGCAAAAGATTTGCATAAAATCGAGTATTATAAAACAATATTTTTATGACTACATTAGATACTATCTTTTTCTCTGCGTTTGTATGTATCACACATAAATACATATAGATGCAATTACACAATGTTTATGGAACCAATTTGCTATTATGTAAGATAATATAATTATATATTACGGAGATAATTACGCGAAACATAATTAAATAGCATATATTTTATTAATTATTTATCACTTTATTTACAAATTTAGATTTATCACAATTTATGTTCTTAACCATTAGCTGATTGAAGCTTTGTTCACCTCTTTGCACGTTTAATTGTCTATACAAATTGAAGCAAAAAGAATACAAAAACTAACAATAAAATATTATTATTAAATAATATAACAATTTTTCTAATAAAACAAAACAATCCTTTTTTATTTTTTTATTTTTACTATAAAAACTCCATCAAATAATTAACATGTGATAATATGTCAAATTTTTTTAGCTCTGTGATATTAACTATGATCATTAAACAATTCTAGTTTATATAGTATGGCAAATAAACAATAGACTATAATAAGAGAGAAAATATTTGAGAAGAATATTAAAGAAGATTAAATTTAAACATCTAGATATATACAATAATTAATATTATTATATAAAAATAATGTAATTTAATAAAAAGAACAAATAAATTTACATGCTATACGCTTATTTTTTACTTACATACTAAAACTATGTATAAAATTTACATTTTTACAATAATTTATGCAATAAATTATATTTAAAATTTTTATATTTATATATATTTAAATTAATGTTGAAATTTCGAAAAAGATAAAAATACGTACAATACTTATATTCTATAATTTAACAATATTTTTATTATTATTTGTATTATTTTGTATCAATTGCAATCACACACATGATTGTATTGAAAAATTATTAGTAAAAGTTATCGTTTAAGTTGTTTGCTTATGTTGCACATTCAATGCTTATATACAATCTATGACCTTATATCTTTAACCTACACATTTTACATTTATAACAAGTATAAATACGATCTATATCATCAGTAGCTGCAAATATTTCCTCAAACTGTGTTTGATACTGTGCAATAAAGTGAAAGAATATTAGCAAAATGAAAGTTATTTGTATTCTTTGCATCTGTGTTTTAGGATTTATTGTAAGAATTTTATTGTTACAAATATAAACAATCATATATTAATAATAAAATTAATGTTAATTATAATTATATATAAATATTGATATGTTAAATAATTGTATTCAAGAGAAATACAGATAAAAAAATGTATTTTTAATTTTAATGAAAAGTATATAATATCACATAAGAAGTATGAAAAAAATATTATATAATATTAAATTGTAGCATATGTTTAACATAATTGTAGTGCATACTTATATTACAATATATTAAATATATGTATATATATATATATATATATATATATATATATATATATATTATATTAAATATATTAAAAAATGAATATATTATATAATATATTAAAAAATAAATATTTCAAATAATATATAAAATAAAATTATATTTTTCGCAGGTCGTCTTAGCACAATCTGAATTAAAGCAACAATTAAAAAATGCAGTAACATCTAATATCCAGGACGAGATTCTGACTTGTTTGACGGAAAATAATCTAACAGTTGGTAAGGTATAATTATATATAATATTAGAAAATTCGTTTATTGCTCATTATTTAAGATATTTTGACTAATTTTAAAATAAATTCTGTTTTGCCAAATTTGATAAAGTATATAATGTTTTTTTCTACAATTTTTGGTATTTTATTCAAGCTAATTTTTTAATTCTATACCAAGCTAGTAAACGTTTATATATGCATTTGTTCAATCTATATAAAATGCATAGTTAAAAATATGAAATACGCACTTTTCTTTTAAATCCTGCATCTTATTTTACAGATAATTTCTATAGTGAGGTACAAATAATGACTGGCGTGCATGCAAGATCCGAAAATGAAGAAAAGACAAGAAATCATGGTTGTGCCATCGCATGTGTATTGAAAAAAAGTGATTTGGTAAATTTTTATATGTATATTAAATAATTTATTATATACAGACTATACAATGCACGATTTAATTATATAATAAAATTATAAATTATTTAAAAAAGTAAATACATAATAAAATACACATACAGTGCACACACACACACAGATACACACACGTGCACATATATAATTACCAAAAATTAGAAAAAACTATTAAAAATTGTATAATCTACTGTTTTCTTACTTAACATTTTATTTATAATATTAGATGGAAAATTCAAATATTGATGAAAGGAAACTCCATGTAAAAATAAATCAAGAATTATCTCATTCTCCTCACCAAGTAAGAGTACACAAAGTTGCACGCGATTGCATAAAAGAAGGTAAATTATTATTATATCGCTACTATAAATATTAAAAAGTTTATCATATATTTATCGTAGAATTATAGAAAATTGAATCTATTATTATAGAAAAATATATATATATATAAAAATTATAAGTTAAGATTCTATGTACGTTATTATAGATTATATACATATACATTTTTGCACTAATTTTTTATTTAACTTATTTGTAGTTTTAAATAGTTTTAAATAGTTTTATAAATAATTAAAACAGATCATATAATTTGTGTTAAAATTATGCAAAGAACTAATAAAACTAATATAAAAATATATTATACTTTTCAACACTTTAATTATATTTGTTTATATTGCAGTAAAAAATATTACGGAAGAATGTGAAAAATGCTTTTCGCTATTTACTTGTGTTATAAAAACTGCACATAAATTGGAGAAACATGAAGAACATGTAAGAACAGCAACAGAAGGAAATGAAGAAGCAGAGCATGAAGAACATGAAAAAGCAGAAACAGAGGAAAATACAGAAACAGAATAAACTGTCTGAATATAATTAATGAAACATTATCTATATTACTTTATCAATGTAAACTTGTAACAAATCAATTTAAATAAAAAAATATGTTTTCTTCTTATGTTACATTCTTGCTATTCTGATGTAATCAAGCAAATATAAATAAACAAATACAGCAATATATACAGCAAATATAAATAAACAGTATTAATTTTTCTAATATCTTTAACACTATTTCATAATTCATGGATAAAATATAAATATTTAACAAATCTGTTTTTATACGTTGTCGCTCAAAATTAACGACAATTACTTAATAGATAAAATTTTAACTTTTAAAGACTCGAAATCGTGCATTTCTGTAAAAGATTTAATCATAGAAAATTATATAATTTTTAAAATAATCAGAAAGATTCAACACTAATATTTTAAGTTAATATAGTATTTTAATGAAGCTCAATTGTATTGTTCGATACATATTGCATAAAAACTAAGAAACGTTAACATAAAAGTAATTTGCATATTTTGGAACTGGACGATTGCTGTGTATTAAAGTGCTTCTATATATATAATGACTGAATTTATTAATAACAAGAAAAAATAATCTTGACATGTTTGTAAACCACTAATAAGTGTTGAACAGATAAATCTCGTGAATTCACGCAAAATCATAATAAGAAATTAAAAATAACCCGGAAAATTTTTTTATTTAATTTCTTTTGAAAATGTCTTATAGAAACTTTTATTGAGACAGCGTAATTTTCTTAAAATTATCCTTTCTTTAAAAAAGACATGTTAAGTCGATTCTCAAATGTATCGGTTTATCTCGCAAATCTGGAAGTGTATTGTTGCCTCTTTTCCATCGCTCTGATTGATTTAAAATTTTTTTGTTGTTGTAATTAATCTAAGAGTACGCAACCCTACTCATATTTTGGCACGAAACACAGGGTCGGCCGTAATAAATTGTTAAACAAGTATTTAAGCGTTTGTACAAAAATATTATGATAAAATGATTTTTCCGGAACTTGTGTCCGGATGATTAATTTTTTTTTATAGTAAGAGGTCCCAAACTATGCTTGTAATTTTTAGAATTAGACGTCAAAACGGCTACAATGAGTTTTTATACGGATATATGTGCGTGTATATCTAAATATCTACTTAAGCGGAACTCTTCCGGATGCGTATATACATGTATGTAAATATCTTGTTGAACGGAACTATTCCGGGCCCTGTTTATTAACAAATAAATTTTTTTCTATTGTAAATAATCTAAGAGTATACAACCCTACTCGTATTTTTTGGCACCAAACACAGGTCGACCGTAATAAATTGTTAAATTTATTATTATAAAAGTTATTTTAGAATGATATTTTTATACAGACGCTTAAATACTCGTTTAACAATTTAGTACGACCCTGTGTTTGGTGCCAAAAAATACGAGTAGGGTTGCTTTTTAATTGCTGTATTAAAATTAAACGTAAAATATATAATAAGACAACACATGCCTTTTAATTGCTATTAAAATTAGATTTAATTAGTATTAAAATTTAAACGTAAAAATAATAAAATAAATAACAAATATATGTACATGCTAAAAATTTATATGTATTATAACCTCTGATGTATTATAACCTCATATCCAGCAGCAATAAAAAAAGAGTATATTAAATTATCAGTATATTTTCTTCTATATTACATATTTTATGCTTACACAATTCATGACCTAGTAATCTTATCTATGGATTTTATATTTGCAGCCAATATAAATAAGACGATGCTATTACGCTCCACATAGTACTTGTACAAGTGTAATTAGATGTTAGAGAAATTATACGAGCAAAATGAAGCGCGGATTTTACGTTATTGTTTTCGCATTTATTGTAAATATCTTATTTGGCTATAAAAATAGTTAAACACTAAAGAAGAAAAAGAATTCTTTATAAAGAATTTTTTTAATTGCAATAACTTTTAATTAAAATTAATTTATAAATGTTACTTTATATAACATTATAATTAACGCGTATATAATTAATATAATTTATATAACATTATAATTAACGTATAAGAATATACAGAAAACAAAATTAATTAAAAATATAAAATATAATTATGTATCATTTTAGCCTGCCATCTTGGCTAGAATTCCAAATGTAAATAAGAAAGTAGGATCTCATCTACAAGAATACAGTACTTGCCTGACTCAAATCGATATCACTGAAAGTAAGTTATTAATTTTTACATTATATATATTCAATTTTGTTTTTTCTTAACTAGAATTCTTTGATTAAATTAGACATTTTTTAAATTTTAAACGAACAAAAAATTATTATTTTATTTTTGACCACTTACAGTTTTGTGTATGTAACTTTAAATATCTTTAAAAGATCACTTTTATAAAATAACTTTTCTGCTACAGACTATTTACAATTTAATAAAAATAAAGAATAAAATCCTTGTTTATTTGCATTTTCGGAAAAGCTTAGTTTGTATATAAATACTAACATTTTTTATATTTTTTCTATACAATTCGATAACTGAATTTTAAATTAAATAAATTATACTAAAGATAAATATACATATATTATATATCAAATAGTTTTTTCAATTTAAATAATAAAACTCATTTTCTTAGAATTAGTAAACAATAACTTTTTGTAATTTTTTTAAATATTATAATTTATTTTTCAGATGATATATACACAGTAGGAGATCTAATACATGATAGATATAAGGAATCTGAAAATGAAGAAAAAGTAAAGAAAAATGGTTGTTTGGTACATTGCCTATTACAAAAGCAAAACTTGGTAAGTTTTTTTATGACAGTTGTACATGACATTCAAAATTGCAAACTATATTATATATATTTAGCTAACAATAAAATTATTAAGTATTAAGTATATAAATAATTTTTATGACACTTTTATTTTTACTTAATTTTTATTTAAAGCTAGCATATTAATTACTAATTTTATCTAGAAAATAATATTTTTCTTTAACACTAAAGGGACATTTGTATATATATCCTTACATTTGCTATAAATGTGAAAATATAGGGTTTGTGTTATATTTAAAAACATAAAGAGTAAAATAAAATTTCTGTATTTTTAAAAATAAGTTATTGATATTTTATTCTTTTTATTTATATTTTTTAAAATAATATTAGATAGAAGAATTGGATTTGAACGTAGAGAAATTACATACTGAGCTTACTAAAAAAACGAATGCCCAGCCAGGAGACAATGTTCACAAAGCTCTGGATGAATGTATAGAAAAAGGTATAATTTCAAATTATATGCACATTCTAGTTTTTATAATAAATATAAATTTATTTGCTACGTTTTTATAAAGTATTTAATATTATCTATTAAATAAAATATTAATTTATTTTATATTTAATTTTTAATTCAATGTTCTAATAAGATTAAAAAATGTGCATAACATATAATATTAAACTTATATTTTACAATAAACTTTACTTTTTCATCACTTTTACTAATTTTTTGTTGCAGTAAAAGATATTACAGATAAATGCGAGAAAAGCTTTGCTTTATAGCATGTTACTTAAAAGCTGCAAATAAAGAAGATAATTAGAGATTATGTTTATATAATACTATATAGAGAAGATATATAGAAACGAACATAATTTTAGAGATTATGAAAGCCATGACTCAGTCAGAAATGGTCGATCGAAAAGATCAGTAATAAGCAATTTTTCCAAATTTTAAGTGCGATTTTAGCTATCATTATGTTAGAGATGTTTTTAGTTGAATAAATAATTTAAAGATAAAGAAAAATTACATAATTACATGAAAATATAATTAGACATAGAGAAAATATAAATTTTTTTATTTTTATTTTTATATTTGTTGTATAATAATCATTGTTTTTGCAGCTTAGTGAGAGTATGTAACAACAAATATGCAGTGTTTTTAAAATTATATATTATATTATAATTCTCTCTGTATTTTTCTTTTAAAGTGTAAATTGTTTAATTAATTAAATGCATAGGTTTTTCATGATTTGCATTTTTTATAACTTACGTAATCGTTATCATTTAAGCTAAAATACATTTCCATATCATTAAAATACACATAGTTTACGATAACTAAATTTTTTTATACTTTGCATCTTTACTTACTTTATCTTATGAATATTAGATATATAAATTAAAAAGTGCAATATTTGCAAGAAAATATTCCAATACGCCTGTTTTTACTCCCATATAGCAAATTCATACTGTTTTACATTTATTTTAATTTCTTTTTTTATAAGAAAAACAAGATAAGAATCTTTGTCGGCAAATTGCATATATAGAAAAAATACAAATCATAATAATACATATGTTGATAATTTTTTTACTCAATAAAACTATATTTAATTTAAACATAATAAAACATCTCTACATTTACTATTGTTTCATATCAAGACATTTTTCGATATTATAACAAAAGAAAATAGATTATGAAATTGTAACACTACAGCTTTTTAATATGAGATAACTACTTTTTTTATTTAGTTAATAATGAAGTTATGTAAATATTAATAAAGTATAATATACTAATTATTATTCGAAAATATTGTGATAATATTTTTATTTTAACGCCACAATTATTATTTATCTTCAAGAACATTGCTTGAAAGATTCTGATTATACTTATGTCGCTATACATACAAAGTATACATTTGTGTTAATTATCTGGACATAAACTAACAACTATTGTATGTTATATACAAATAATAAAATTTTAAATATTTATATCTCTATGCTTAATAATTATATATTATATATTTATCTATATATTATATATTTTATATATACTATGTGTTAAATCATATAAACGCAAGTTCTATAAAGTATGTATATATTATTTTCATATTTCAATAATCTCTTTATATTCAATATTTAATATTCTACAGAAAATTATATTAATTGATCAAATTCATACAATATATAAATAAGTATATATAAATACTAATATATAAATAAATTATTTATTTATTTAATAAAGAAGTATTGAGATTTCTACATATATATATTTACTTTAATTATTGCGAAAACACACACATCAATATGATAAACCAAAACGTACGTTAAATTATTGAAAATAATAATAATAAAAGTAATTAGTTATTAAATTTTATTTATTAGTTATATATGTTTCTCCGATTTATATGATGTGAAATCATACTGACTAGAATAAATGATATATTTAACAGTATTATATATGGAAAATGGATAAACAATAGATTGTAAAAAAAATATAATTTGTAAAAAAAGTATATAAAATATTTTAAAATTATATACATTAATAATAAATAAAAATAGCCATAACATTCCTCATCACACACACACACAATTTTCTTTCTAACAGAATATGTATTATGCAGAATAGCTACATACAGTCTTTAATTAAATGTTGTTACATTTTATGAATATATGAAATTTAAATATTATCAATACGCTCTATGTTAATAAATATATATATTCATAACAGAGTATTTATCCATAAATTATTTAATTGCCATATCAAATTATTAATATAAGAAGCATTTGATGCATGTAGCATGTTTTCCTGCAAAATAAATATAAAATGTGCGTAAAATATTTTATACATATGTTTATATGAAAAAATTGAAGAAAAAAATTAAATTTATATTCTTTGTAAACAAATATCAGGAATAAATACGGCGAGATGATAACGATATCAATCACAGATTAAGTATCAGTCGTATATGTATATTATTGTATAATCCATTGTACGTCATTTTTTTTCTGCGAGATAAAACATTTATTAATCTTATTATTATACTATTCACATGGATCTCCTAGCTTATATCAGAATATGTTTTTGTCAGGAGAATCTGCTACATGCTACGAATCTGCTATATTTTAACTTATCATTTACGTACATTCATGTACGTTTATTTATTCAGTCAACAAATTGTATGAAATGTAATATTAAAAAATCTTTAATAAAAAAAGACCCCGACAAACTATATATATAATAGGCATATTAAAAAATGCAAATGTTATACTCGTGCATATGTATGTGTATATGTCATTAATTAATTAATTAATTAAATAAATAAATAAGTGATTTTGGAAATTTAATTTAATTAAACATAATCACAAAAATATTCTGATGCTAATAAATATTAAACAAAATTACGACAACTAATTATAGTGTATTGCACACACAAAAAGAATGATTCCATATTTATACGACTTTTGAGAATTGCTATTCCAATATGTATCCCAATGTATTGTGCGTAGTGAAACATTTATATCTTATAAAATTGCATAATAGCTATTGATTAGATATAAGCCCATACTTGAAATTATATGCTTGTAGCTCTGACATACATCATTCCTCATTAGTGTGTCGCGGTTACGAATAAACGCAAGTCAACCATAGTAATTCCAGTACCGGAGATGCCACATAATTGAACAAGTTTGAAACTCTTGTGCGGAGCTCTTCACGTTCTCGACGTATCTTTCTTCCAGTTAACTGGAGCGGGTAATTTCCGATTCGTACCATCCAAGTTTAGTCTACTCTTTGAACATTTCCGACATGTTAGTCGCCAGAAAGCGAGCCTGAAGTCTGCCGAATAGAAGGCGTAAATGAACGGGTTGATAGCCGAATTAATCCACCCTAAACATATAAAATCACTTCCGATCATTTTATTCCGTCAAAATATTAAAATAATAAATATAGCAACTGATTGATATTATATTATATAATTATGATTTTTTAAAAGAATTACAGAAATAAATTACAAATTAAAATACAAATAGGCTGTAAGATAAATCAATTGTGTAAAAAATTTTGTTCAGTTTATATCACTGATCTCTACTGTATTTTTTTTTATTAAAGACTATAAACTATAACATAATAGAAACTATTCTTTTAATAGAACTTTAAATTTAATTTATATGCAAAACATTTTTAATTTAAATTGTTGTTAATTTTAAAATTATTAAAACAAATATAACTTAGACATTTATTGAAAATTAAATTTGTGAAGAGAAAATCATGAATAATAATAATTTTAAGAGAACCTACATACATATATGTAAAAAGAAGTTACCTAGCCATGTTAAAGCTGGCATAAGAACATCTGGCGGCTGCACAGGTACAAAAGGTGTTGCCAAATAGAGAATAAAAAATGGCAACCAGCATGCAACAAAACCGCCTACAACTACCGCCAGGGTACCCGCAGTTTTCGTCTCCCTAGCGACTTTGTTGATGCAGCTCTGCTGATTACCTCGAATTGTGCTCAGCTTTTTGCACGTGCTCGTTGGTTCGGTTTCCTCGGATGGCTTGTCACACGTCACACTACTCTCAGCACAATCCGTACGTTGTACTTTAATACTTTTCCCACGATCAATCTGCCAAAAGAAGATTCAAAATTCCACATTTTATGTAATTAATATTGCACAATCAGTTGTATAATTAATTGTATATATATATATATATATATATATATATATATATAAAATTACATAATATACTTATGTGTATGTAATTTATATATATTAATAATTAAAGTTTTTTGATTACAATTTTTTTATAGTTCAAAATAACACTCTAATTTTTAATAGATTGTAAGTTTTTAATAGATTGTAAAGAAAGTAAAAACAAAATATTTAATCATATCATAGAATTTTGTCACTTTTACATGCTTTATTTATATTTGAGAGCGCCACTATGCTGATTTTATTAAATTATTATTATTATTATTATTATTATTATTATTATTTTATTATAATCTTTTGTTCTATATTTTATACATAATATATATTATATATATATAGTCGATAAGATTTTCCAACTTATCTAAATTATAAAATCTTTTAAATGTGTGGTTCTTTTCTTCTTCAAGATTTTTTTCTCATAATTTTATATAGATATATTTAAAATAACTAAATTTATTATAATATTATAATAACTAAATTATTATAACATTATGATTACAAAATATGCATTATTACAACTAAATTTTCTTTGCTTCAATCTATATACCATTTTTATCAATGCAACATTATTTATTTGATTTTAATCTGAGTGTACTCATATTTTTCAAAATCAATGATAATCGCGAGAATATTTACGTCAATCCTCGTTTCATTTTTAGCTGATCTTTAGCTTTGAATATGATAGTAGAATTTTATCATTAATTAATAAGAAACTTATCATTATGCTTTGCTCTATATGCGCTCTACAACTAATTTATAAAATTTCTGCTATTTTTTGCCTGTTACATGTATATATTTTATAAGAAAGATAAATCATACTCAAAATAATAAATATAAATAAGTAAAAGCAATACGGGCAAGTGTAAACCGAAATGCCACGAAGTAAGAAGCACCAAATTAAATGTCTTTTTCGAATAAAAGTCTTTGTTCGAAATAAACAGAATAAAATGTGAATTATATGTATATTCAAAATATACATTTTATATTTGTGATAGATAATAAATATAACGTATTTAGTGTTTTATTTAAAAATTGTTTATAATACGTTTATATGCATAACATTAATAACTTATATAATTTTTAACTAAAAGAGTAAATCAATGTAATTTTTTTTATTGTATTATGTAATATAATGCAATAATCGATAAATATTTAATTATTGTTTACATTAATTAAATGCATTGTTAAAGAAATAGCACGAGAATATTTATCAAAGATATAATCACAAAATTTACTTTTTCGAATTTATATTAATTTTATACTAGAAACACAAGCGCGCGCTTTGTGCGCTCCTTTGATATTATTTCTAATGTTTATTTCACAACTCAAATTGTTAATCTTCGCAATAATAGTTGTTTGATGCTATGACCATAATTTTAATTCGCAAAATTACTAAATATGTACATAATATTAATTCCTGAATTTTTATTATGTATATAATTTTAATTTATTGAATTTCTATTATGTACATAATTTTAATTTGCTGAATTTCTATTGTATTGTTTGAGAACTATTTTGTACAGATGTATCACCTTATATATTTTTTCTCATTTTGTTTAGTTTAATCTAATATAATTACGTACACGAAGCGAAGTTATATTATTCTTTGATAATAAAACTTCAAAATTACAACGCATGTATAAAATTATTGTTGCAATGCATGCATAAAAATATATTTATTAATTACGTGATTTATAAAAATTAAAATTTTAATATATAAATTTTTAATAGAAAAAAAATATAATTTTAAACAATAATCTTTCAATTAAAATATCTGCTTTTCCATTAGATTCGCACGTCTGTACGCGTCCGCTACGCTACATGACTCTGTATGCTGCGCGACGAAAACAATTCTCTCTTTCTATTTTCCATCAGATTAATACATCCCATATATCATCACGATGCGCGGCTCGCGCGACACTGATTTTCGTGCGAGGTATCGCGAGCGCGGGCCCAATGGTCACGTGACCACTAGTCATGTGACCATTGGGCCCGCGCTCGCGATACCCCGCACGAAAATCAGTGTCGCGCGAGCCGCGCAGCGTGACGAATGTATGGAGTATAGAATTTCGCGTGAATGTATGGGGTATAGAATCTCGCGCAAATCTAATAAAAACGTAGATATTTAATCACAAAAGATTCTTGTAGAAAATTTTATTTCTTTGTTCGTATTTTCTGTAAAAGATTTAAATATTTAATTTTTATGCATTACATAATTAATTAATATATTTTTACTAGAACACAAGCGCGTGCTTCGCGCGTGTTATTGATACATATTATTTTAATTTTTTATTTTACAACTGTCAAACTATTAACCTTCACGATGGCAGTTGTCTGATGCTATTAATATAACACGGGCTGCGTTCACTTTGACGCTTTCAGCGCTACAAGCATCTTCTATCTTCGTTGCATATCGAATATCAAACAAAGACAGAAGATGCTTATAGCGCTGAAAGCATCCAAAACAAACGCAACTATAATGTTAATTGAGACAATCAATCAGCATCGCAGAAAAACAGCAACAATATTTACAATTATTGACTTTGCATGCTTTTTTAAGAAAGGTAATTAAAAAAGAACATTTAAACAACTCAAAAATACATATATCATGTATTATACTAATATTAATTTCAAATTAAACAATCATATATAGTAGGCCAACTAAACGAGCAAATAATAAGATGTAAAAATTTTTTATTAATAGTTAAATCATTAAATTAACATTCCGTTACAGAATCGATATAAATTGTAAACGTTTCGACTGCACTACAGTCTTTATCAATACATAAAAATTAAATATTAAAATATAAAGTTAGATGTAAAAATACAAAGTTAGTTAAATATTAAAATATAAAATTGAAACGATTCTTCGCTGTTGACCAATAGATATGCAAGGCGATTGGTCTGAGATGCCAAGTTATGCGACATTTGAGCATGCTACGGATATAATACGCGAATTAAATCAATGTCAGAAAATATTAAAAAATCTTTCAACTTACATTATCGTTTTAACAAGTCCTTTTCCCCGATATTTCAAGTGTGTGTTGCGAAGTCTGAATACCAAATGTCAAAATAGAGAGCGTGATGTATTTATTTATTACCAATGTTTTTTCTAAATTATGATTCAGCAAATTTTTTAAGTATGTCAAAATAACTACTGTCTAACAATTCGGTGTCTGTATTTAAATTAATTCCATTTTTCTGTTCTTTAATGTGGATCATTTCAGATATTAGTCTTTTATGGTAATTCTTTCATGATCCATAATTTTAATATTGTCCCAGTCAAATGTATGTTGTTCGTTTAGAATGTGTTCCGTGATAACCGAATGTCTAGCAGAGTCTAATTTAATATTATTTTTATGTTCTTTAAGTCTCGTTCCTAACTGTCTTTTTGTCTGTCCGACATATGTGGCGTCACAATCGTTGCAATTCAATTTGTAAATAACGTTAGAATTCGTGGGGCAATTTTTTTGTCCTTTTGAACTCTTATGAAGTCATTTAATTTTTTAATGCAACGATATCCTACCACTACGTCAGGTCTTCTTATTGCTGAAGCAACTTTCTCAGATATTGATTCTATATATGGTATGACAAAATATTTAATGTTAGTATTAGTATTATTAGTATCTGTTATATTGTTATTATTAGGCTTGTTAAATTTCTTAGTTGAGAGATTTTTTAATCTGCGTTTTATTTCTGTGAAAATTAGATCAAGAGGATAACCGTTGGATAGCAAAATGTTAATAGCTTTCTCTATATTTTTTTTGTGAAATTGCGGATGTGATAGTAATAAAGCTCTATCTACCAAGTTATAAATTGTTCCTATTTTATGACAAGTCGGATGATTTGAAAAAAATGAAAGTAATCTACCTGAGAATGTCTTTTTGTGATACCAATCTAAATAAATTTTGTTATCTATTACTTTGATCATTATGTCTAAAAAGCTTATACAACGATTATCCTCCTTTTCCAATGTAAATTGTAGTCTATCGTTATAATTGTTGAATTCGTTCAAAACATATGTAATATTGTCAGCGGAAGTGCATAAAATAATGTCGTCTACATAACGGAAATAGAAAGTCATTTCGCAATTTAAATTACTAATTACTAATGTTTCCAAGTCCTGCATGACTATATCGGCAATGATCGGAGAAAGTGGGGAACCCATAGGAGTCCCATAAATTTGTTTGTAAGTTATGTTATTAAAAGTGAAAAATGTAGAAGTTAATATAAATTTTATCATACCTATGAATTCATTTTTGGGAATCTTTGTGTGTGACTCTATAAAATGCCATCTATTATTGATACCGTTTAATGCAAGATCTACGGAAACATTAGTAAATAATGAAACAACGTCCAATGAAGCTATTATGTCGGTATCTTGTATTGTTTTCCCTGATAGAATGTTGCATATATCAAAACTGTTATTTACAAAACTGTCCGCTCTAGGAAGGCTATCTTTTAAAATTTTATGAAAGAAAGAAGCAATATTATATAGAGAAGTATTTATTGAGGAAACTATTAATCTAAAAGGAATATTTTCCTTGTGGATCTTGGGGAGCCCATAAGCTTTAGGAAGAAGAGAGTCGCTTGAAAATAAATAATAATATTCTTTTTTGTTGATGAAGTCTTTTTTCAACCATTTTTTTAAACAAATATTGAGGTCTTTTTCTATTTTTGTTGATGGATTGTTTTTAACTATGGTATACGTAGAATCGTCTTCTAGGAGACTCTCAACTTTTTTTATATAAAATTCTTTTTCTAGTGCGACTGTAATGCTGCCTTTATCTGCTCTGGTAAATAAAATATTAGGATTTTGATTGCAGAATTTAATTGTGTCTTTATGCATGTGAAATAATTTTTCTTGTATGTCCGTTTTTTTGTCGTTATTGTTTAAAATAATGAAAATTGTGGAATGGCAGCATTAC